AGGCTACTGTAACGAAATGCTATAGACCCGGTGGCTCACAAACAGCAGAAATGTTTTCTCACAGTTCTGGATGCTGGGAAGCCCAAGAAGGCACTGGCAGATTTAGTGTTTGGTTAGGGCCCTCTGGGGCCTTCTCTCCGTGTCCTCCTGCAGTGGAAGGGGTGGGCTAGCTCTCTGGGGTCTCTTTTATAAAGGCAATAATTCTACTCATGAGGGCTCCATGTTCATGACCTGCTCACCTCCCAGAGACCTCCACCTTCTGATTCATCACTTCGGTGATTACGGTGATTATGTTTCAAGTTAAGAATTTTATGGAGGTTACAAACATTCAGGACACAAAAGAAGTCACAATCATATCAAGAAAGGGCTTTTGCTAATTAAAAGAGAATGTTTAAAAAATAAGCAGTCATGGGCTGGAGATATAGCTCAGTTGGTAGAGTGCTTGCCTCGCATGCATACGACCTTGGGTTTGATCCCTAGCACCACACACACACACACACACACACACACACAAAGAATAAGAATAGAAATAGTCAGTGAAATTTCAGAAAATAATACAAAAAGATAGGTGGAAAAATGTGAAAGAAAATGAAGGACTCCAGACTGAAAGTCCAATATCCAGCTAAACGGTGGGAAAGAAATTATCAAAGAAACAATACAAGAAAATTTCTCAAAAGGACAGAGTCTCAAGATTGAAGGGTCCACCAAGTAAGCAAGACAATGAGGAGGAAAGACTCCGACAAGGGCAAGTCTTTAGAAGGCTTCAGAACTCAAAAGAATGAAGAGGAGACCTTAAGACCTCCCTAAAAGTAGCAGGCATCACACAGAGAACTAGAGTCACATGGCATGAATGTCTCAGTAGCAAGACTGGAAGTGAGAAGAAACTGGAACGAATTCTTTATGACTCTGAGGGAAAATGATTTCCAACCTAGAATTCCACATCAACCCAGGGAACATTCGCCATCAAATACAAGGACAGAATGGAAACATTTTCAAATATGCAAGATCTCAAAATATGTCCATGTACCTTTATTCCAGAAGGTTCTGGGGGATGTGCTGGTGAAGTCAAAGGAGTAAGCTAAGAAAGGGGAGGACACAGAATTTAAGAATTAAGAAACAGGGAGCCAGTAGAGTTGAGGAGTGAATTGCAGACCCAGGGTGACAGCTGTGCAGCAGACCCAGGAGGACCAGCTTTAGACTGGAACAGTGGAAGGATGTTCCCAGAGAAAAAGTGCGACCATTGCCCTTGGGCTATGCAGAAAATGGTGATAAGTCTGTAACAGAGATGATGAATCATTAAAAAACAAAAGCCTAAATAATCAGGATGTCAAACAAAATAAAACAAAACAAAACACAAATCAAGTGGCTAGGTAGGGTGGTGCACATCTAAAATCACAGTGACTCAAGAGGCTGAGGCAGGAGAGTAACAAGTTTGAGGCCAGCCTTGGTAACTTTGTGAGACCCTGTCTCAAAAATAAAAAGATCTGGGGATGTGGCTCAGTGGTAGAGGGCCCCTGGGTTCAATCACCAGTGTCAAAACAAAACAAAACAAAAACAAACAAACAAACAAAAAACTAGTCATGTATGTTGTATAATTTTAAAACTAAATAACACAAATGAAATGATAATTAACTCCAGGATGAAATAAAGAGTTCTACAGGAAAGAAAGCACAAGTCGGATGTAGTTGCGCACGGCTGTAATCCTAGAAACTCGGGAGGCAAGGCAGGAGGATCGAAAGTTCAAAGCCAGTCTCAGCAATTTAGTGAAGCCCTAAGCGATTTAGTAAGACCCTGTCTCAAAATAAATAAAAAGGGCTGGGGATGCGGCACGTGGCTCAGCGGTTAAGTGTCTCTGGGTTTAATCCCTGGTACCAGAAAAAAAGAAAGAAAGAAGGGAAACACAGACACTACATGAGACTTGGCTCTGCAGTGAACAACGTTTTCATAACCATCGTAATATAAATACCAACTACAGATTCATCCCAAATTTGTGACAGAACCCCACTGAGAGGAATGGGAGGTAGGACGTATTATGAGAGTTTAGTCCCCATCTATCATGGCAACAAAACAACAGATGGCAACTACAATGAACAGATCAAGAAGGCCTACTATACACATTGTTTAGAAACATGGGGACCACATCAGGGACCTCAGCTGAGGTGCTGACAGCAGTGTCTGTGGGAAGCTGGCCTGTGGAGTGGGGACCATGGCCTCTCATTACAACTCTTTTAGTACTTTTTAGCTTTTAAAAACATGTACTTGGTGTATTTATATATATATATATATTTTTTTTAAATAAAGTTAATGTACTAGGGGGAACCATGATAGTTTGGTTGTTTATCTTGATGAATCCCTAATTAGTGGAATATCAGGGTAAGGAAAATTTAGAGATTGTAGGGTAAAAGAACCGGGGAGGGGTCACAGGAGTAAGAAGCAAAAGGGAAGCAGGGAACCGCCTAGAACGCGCAGCAGTTGCCATGACACGGGTGGCTTGCGTATTTAGAGTCCCCAAACACATTGCTTTTAAAACACATTGCTTTTGGACTATAAAAGTAATAAACATTTATTGTAGGCACTTGGGATAGTACAAATGAATAAATAAAGAGGGAGAGAGAAAAATCGAATCCCACCCCAAATCTCTTTATACTTAGGTAATAATTATTATAACTTGTTGGCACATCTTCTTAAAATAAAAGAGGGTTATTCTACATAAATATTTCTCTGTTGCACTTTATTTCCTCTTTGTATTTTTCCAGGTTACTATTGTCTTTGGAAAATGATTAAAATGACCTCTTGGTGTTCCAATATATGAGTAGATATCAGAAGATAGCCATTCAGTCAAAAGACACAATATCCAAAGGAAGTCATTTGGTCCCCCCCCCCCCAATCCTGTGAGGTCTGTGTTATTATTATATCCATTGCACAAACTAGGGAGGAGACCATTACAAAGTCAAATAATTGCTGCAGGTCACATGCTAATAAGCAGGAGTTCTAGGGTTTCCCAGGCAATCTGCTCACCTATGTTTATGGACCACACTTACAGACAGACTGTCTGGAAACAAGTATTCAGTCAAACACACATGCACGAAGGCTGCTTCTGCTCAAGCATTATGGGAATGATGCCTCAGCATTTTCCAGCTTAAAACTTTGAGAACAACCATGGCATGAATGTGTTTTATTGAAGAATGGTTACAGGTACTATTGCATATGAGCGCTGAGACTTCAGAAACAAATTTTGAGGTTTCAACATCCAGGAGGGTCAACAAATAAACAGAGGCAGAGGTGACTAATGTAGGTGAAGAGACCAAACACCTGGAGTTAGTGTCCTGTAAGAAGACAACAGCTGAAATTAAGAAACTGTGTGTCCTTCTGGAGGCTGGGAAGGAGAATAGGATGGGAAAAAAACCAGAGTGTGGTAAAATGTTCTGACTTTGAAGAGAGCAGGGTTGCTTCGAAGTGATGGGACAATACTGGTAAGTGAAAACAGGGACTTACGAGTGTTTTTGAGGGAAGTTTGAGAAGAAAGAAAGGGGTCCAGGGAGGAAAGTTGTGTCCCTTAAGGTGAGGTCTTTGAAGAAATCTAATGGGAAAAGGTGAGTTTGGAGAAACAGGTTTATAAGGGGACAGGGCTTCTTCAGGGTTCCTCTGCAGGAAGCTCTATCACCAACAGGGTGGAGTGCGGGGTGAGTCATAGGCAGAATGAACCGATTTGGGTAGTAAGGCTGTGTGTGTGTGGGGGGGTGGACCTGTCTGGAGATCACCTCCAGGTCCGACATTTCAAAGGGAGAGGGGATACTTATTAGGTAGCTATTTTTAATTGGGAATACGCGGTGGCATTATCCAGCTTGGCCATCCACAGCGTCTGCTAGGCACTGAGACGCATGAAGGGCTGTACAGCATACGAGGGGGCCGGGGAATCTTGCGCTTTGACACAACTTCCCTGGGCCCCCGCGGACCTCGGGATTCAGAGCTCTATCCTTGTTTTGCATGAGATCCGCGAGGCCCCAGAGGGTGAAGGGCCTGCGCCTAGGCTGCACATCTGGCTCAGTGCACGCCTGCCCGCCCGCTGGCCCGCCGGCGCCTTCTCCTACACAGCCTCTTGGCCATCGCCTTCCGGCCTGCTCAGCCCGGTGAAGTCGCCCCAGTCGGCTAACCAAGCAGGAAGGGAAAGTCCAGTGGGTGAGGGCACGGGCGAGCGTGCGCCCTGGCTCTGCGTCAGCCTGCGGCCACCGCTGACTTATTTCGGACTTGCGTGGTTAAGTTCCGCCGAGGGCGCGTCTCTAACCCACGGTTCGCTGAGCAGCCACCCACAGGCAACCCCGGCAGCGTCCCAGCACTCCCTCAGGAACCCGGTCGCGGCGCCCCCGCGAGGCTGAGAGAGGACAAGACGATGGCGGGCGCTAGTTCTGGCGTCTCGCTCCCTTCTCGCTGTCCTCTGCTCCAGGAGACCAGAGCCACGCTCGCCGATCCAGTCCGGGATCCAGTCTGCCGAACCCGCCCCGCGCTCCGGGGCGAGGCGAGAGAGGCGTGGCGCGGACGAGGGGGCGGAGCCAGAGGGCAAGGGCGTGACGGGTGGAGCCAATGGGCATGGGCGCGATGGGCGGGGCCAATCCGCGGGCTGGGCTCTCGGCGCCGAGGGCGAGGCGCATGCGCGCTGGGGCGGCGCGGGAGGCGGGTGGGCAGCTGCGAGGCCTGTCGGGGTGAGGGCGGTGCGGTAGGACTGTTCGGGTTCGGGAGGCGGCTGCCCGCGCTGGGCCTCCGGGTTGGAGAGGCAGTCTCGGGGGAGGGATGCGGATATGGGGAGGCGGCCGCGGCAGAAGCAGCGGGGGCAGGTGTCTCCGCGGAGCTAGGCCCGGCCTTTCAAGATGCTCCCCAGGGAGAAAAGGAGAACCGAGAGCCCCGGGGAAGGCCCTACGCCACACCGCCACACCGGGCGGGGACTGGGGTCGAGCCCAAAGTGCGAGTTGACGAGGGCCACCTGCTATGGTGACTGGCTAGTTCCGCTTTGCCTGGATGTTCCGGTTTTAGGACCCAAGCATCCCGGGCCTCCAGCCCTTTGCAGTGACCCTTTGCTCCGCCCCCTGTCCCACTTCTTGGGCATCTCCGTCTAGATTAGACCTGGGAAGCTGGAGGAGGTCTTCCGACGTTTCACACCGCCTTTTTTATGTTAGGGTGAAGACACCCTCCACAGCACCTTCCGGACATGCCTGTCCTTGTAACGTAAACACTTCAATGGGAGCCTTCCTTTTTAAAGGTAGGTATACTATAGAGGCCACCTCTTGCTTTACATTTTATCCTGTAGAAATAAAATGTTAGGCCAGACACTTAAGGAGTGAGGATGATCCTGTGCTCATGTCAGAGCTTTGACCAAAAAGACCTTTGGTCTAGAATTTTTGCCACCCCCATGAACCTGAGATAGAATTCAGAGGTTCAATCAGAGAAGAAATTAAGTCTTCTCATCAGTTTTCTGTTATCAAACTGAAAAAAAAAAATCTAGATAATGAAAAAATATTATAGGATCCAGACAGAGATGTTCAATTTTTTTCCTTTTCTAACTCAGCCTCATGGTGTACCATCTGTTTGCTTCACTCAAGGGAAGGATGAAAGCTCTACATAGGAACATGATGTGATGGATGAGACCTGTCATTGTGAGTCTTCTGGCTTTTGATTAGTCATCTGATGTCTTCCCCAGTGTAACATGACTCTGAGATGATAATTTCAGTGGTTGAGGTATATCTTGTCAACCTGAGTTAAATTACAGAAATGGGCATTTACATTAGTTCTCTTTTTGTTTGGTATTGGTATTCTTGAGTCATATTGGAAAGGATAAGTATTTTTCATGTGGTCCCAATGAGTCAACTCATAATATTGTGATTATGATACAGATGGTTGAAGGCAATTGGATATCAGTTCATGCTCATATAGTCACCACTAGTTTTTATAATGGAAGCAGGTTCCATATGTAAGGGAGGAGTGAATTTGATGATTTTTTTTTTCAATTTCTTAGATACTGTCCCCAAGAAATTAGAAGTAGGGGCAACTTTCTGAGGGACCACTCTAAGACATTAGGAATTAGTAATGCCATTGAAGAGAGAAAGCAGACATGTATATGAAGTATAGGTAAAGTCCCCAAGATAGATATGCATTTTATCTCTCACTACATGTTTTTTGTTTTGGCAGATCAAGTATTCCGTCACTCTGAACAGACACTGAAAAGAGCTCTCATCTCCAAGAACCCAGCGCTTGTGTCACAGTATGAGAAATTAGATGCTAGGGAACAGCAATTAATGAAGGAAGCCTTCCAGCCAACCAGTGATCTTTATGGACCTATTATTTTGCAATCACAATCAGACTGGATAATCTCACATCCTGAGGCTCCTCAAGACTTTGAGCAGTTTTTCAGTAATCCCTACAGAAAGATACCCTCTCCAGAGAAGCACAGTATTTATTTACTGGCCATTGGTATATATTGGAAATATGATGGTTTTAGTTTGGTTTTGCTGTGGCTCTGTTGTCAGGGATGGTTTGGGCCATTGGTCTGATTGAAGTGGGCAAATTTTTATGGCTTTTTAAATTTCTTTGTGGTGGGGATTGAACCCAAGGCCTTGTGCATGCTAGGCAAGTGATCTTTCATTGCAATAATAGAAGTTTTGTAGCTAAACTAACTTAAAAGTGAACATTTTATTTCTTTTTATCCATATTTTCTTTTATGTTCCTTATTAAGATATATTGAAAATTTGGAGTTTTGTTTCTGATTCCAAATTTCTTATTTGTGGATTGAGGTAAAGACTGAATATTATAATCATTTTAAAATTTGTCTTTAATTTTTTCCCCCTATTATAGGATCTCTAGGAAACACCAGAGTTATCAGTGAAGAATATACTAAATGGCTCAAGGGCTACTGTGAAGCATTTTTCTATGGCATGAGTGTAAAACTCCTAGAACCGATTTCTGTTTCTGCCACACGGTGTTCTTTTAGAGTGAATGATCACACACGCAATTTACAAATTCATGCAGGTGAATTAAGCAGCTTTGCAATTTGAATTAAGGAAATATATAATGTAAATGTACATACATATGTTTCTTTTTAAATAGGGCATATCCTGAAGTTCTTAAAAAAGAAGAAACCTGAAGATGCTTTCTGTGTTGTGGGAGTAACAATGATTGATCTTTACCCAAGAGATTCCTGGAATTTTGTCTTTGGACAGGCTTCTTTGACAGATGGTATTCCTTTTTCACATTGTTGGTAAAAAAAACTTTGTCTGCTAGAGAATATTTGAAGTTGTTTAAAAAAAAAAAAAGGACAAAATCCAACTAATAATAATTTTTTTTAGTTTGTGGTTTTGGGGATTGAATCCGGAGGTGCTATACCACTGAGCTACATCCATAGTCCTTTTTATTTTTTATTTGAGGCTGGATCTCACTAAGTTGCCAAGGCTAGCCTTGAACTTGGGACCACCTGCCTCAGCCTCCCAGATTCATAAGTACAGGTGCGTGCCACTATTTTTGACTTTTTTTTTTTTTAACTTTTTTTTCTTTGTGGTACTGGGGATCACATGCTAGGCAAGTGCTCTATCACTGAGCTACATCCCCAATTCAATAATAGTTTTAATATATTAAAACTACATAGTAATTTCAGTGAGGCATCATTCATGCCATCATGAGGACTATGCTGTCCTTAGATGCTGAAGTTCTGGGTTCTTTAGTAAGCCATTCCCACCCTTGAGGTAATAACACCTATTTCACTCAGTCATTTGGATATAATTTACATAACAGTGCCTATCCATAAAAAGTGCATAAAATAGTCTGCAAGGTGATGCTGGTCTGTAATCCCAGCTACTTAGGAGGCTGAAATGGGAGGATCCAGGATCACAAATTCAAGTGGGGACACTTTCTCTGGCGAACCTTTCTTTCTATTTAGAGGTGGAAGCTTCTTCTCACCTACTCCTTCATTCTCAAGTCTTCATTCCATGAGGTTCCTTATGCCACCACCCCTATGACCCTACCCACATGCTTTCTTGTAGACTGGGGTCACTGCTGTTTTGGTAATTTTTGGGATGTGAGCTAGCTTTTCATCAAAAGTTCCTCCTTTTATCATTAACCTGATAGAGATGGAAACATTAAAAATAACTTAAAAACAACTTGTTTGTTTACCTAGATATTGCTGGCTAATTTATCTTATGTATTTGTGAAGGTCAGGAAACATTCTGCCAAGCTTTCTTTTTTAATCCTTTTTTGGGGAGAGGGTAATATTGCATGATACACATAATGTAAGAGACGGAGGATCACAAGTTCAAGGCCAGCCTTGGCAACTTGGCAAGACCCTGTCTCAAAACATAAAAAGGACTGGGGAGTAGCTCAGTGTTAACCCTGCTCTGGGTTCAATCTCCACAAAATGTGTGTGTTAGCAGGACTGATCTGCTGTGCAGTAAGACAGTATTGCACCACAAGGAACTTTGTTTTCCCTGAGTGTCCAGATTGGTATTTTTTAATTTATAAACATTACTAAAGAAAATAATCTATTTGTGGAAACAGAAATGTTCTTACTAAAACATGTTATATGAATTACACTCATACTTTGGCCCAGTGGAGGTCACTTGTGATACATGATTAGATGTAGTTTTTTTCTGAACTTCCAGAATGCCAGCCTTCCCTAATTTTTAAATAGGGAAGGGCATTTACATTAGTAAATTAGTAGAGAACTAATGTAAATGCCCATTTCTGGCATTTTGAGCATGAGGTGAAGAATATTCTTTTTGAATCAAGTTTGATTGGACAAATTTACTATGAGTTTATTTCCTTACCAAAAAAATTTCAGGATAGACATTACTGGGTCGAGTGTTGCACAGCATGCAGGAGGCTCAGGGTTGTAGCCCCAATAGAGCAAAAAGAAAAAGGTGATAATGTAAAGTCAGGTTATAAGTCAGTCTCCTGTACAGTGAGTTATATATTAAACTGTGTTCTCCTGGCACACAAAGATGGTAGATTCTAAATGTTACACAGGAAGACAGTGACAAGGGTATTTATTCTGATCACCCAATACCAGCTGCATAGTAAGAGTTGTGCAGTATAATTGGCTGTATTCTTGTCTTCACTAAAAGGAGTTGCGGGAGGGAAAGAGGCTATTCTGTCTGAAGTCATGGTCCAGAACATATTTCCAGGTCACCTGGGCAGTGTGCAGGGTATGAGGGAAGGCCCACAGCCCTTATTTATATGCACGAAACTGGGAACTGTTGTGTTCCTAAAGTAAAACCACTACTGTTTTTTGTTTATGCGATTATTTCTCATGACTCCTTTGGAAGTACTTGATTTCGACTATTCTTTGAGAAGAAGACTTTTTTTGTGAAACTTGGAAACTTCCAGATTCGCTAGATTTGACCTTAAGTGTACTGAGTTTTATAGGCAGGGCAAACTGGATAACAGGTGAAGATTTGGAAGGGGAAACGTCCTCCTTTGTGTTGGCAAACCTTAAGGGTATGGGACTGTGAACACAGTAACACAGAGGTGCCCTCACTGAGCGGATATTCTAGAAAGCTCTGCTTTGGTCTTTCCTTCAGGAATCTTGCCCTCATTCTGTGGTTGCTTTTTTTCTTTCTGCAGGAGTGGGGATATTCAGCTTTGCTAGATATGGCAGCGATTTCTATAGCTCACATTATAAAGGCACAGTGAAGAAGCTCCATAAAATATCTTCCAATGACTATGCCATTTTTGATAACTACTTTATTCCTGAAATCACTAGTGTTTTGCTGCTGCGATCCTGTAAGGTGAGTTTAAAAAATCCTGTAGCTGGGCTGGGGATGTGGCTCAAGTAGTAGCGTGCTCGACTGGCATGCGTGCGGCCTGGGTTCGATCCTCTGCACCACAAACAAAGATGTTGTGTCCGCCAAAAAATAAATATAAAAAAAAAAATCCTGTAGCTTTTTTTTTTTTTTAATAAGATCTTCATTTTCTAATCATATATCATCAGTCCTTAAAGTAACATTATAAGTGAGTTTGTGTCTTTGTACACTTTTGGTGGATATTGCAATAAAAACAGTCTAACTGGATACAATTGAAAATTTATAATATCAGTGACACTTTTTGGTCCTGCTAGTACATGCTTTGGCTATATTCTTGTCCTATTTGTTGAGTTCCTGAATCCCATTATGAGTAGGTACCCTACTCCTTCAGGCTGATCATCAGGTAGAACTGCCTCTCTGAGGACTTTGGGGAACCACTGTTCTCTGCCCTTTTAAGGAGAAAAGGCGTTTGTTTTCGGGGCTCTAGGCAACCCTCGACTGTAGTTCTGTGATAGATCCTGATGTCTATCTCCCCATCCCTGGTCTTTGGAAAGCTGGTCTCCTCATTTCCCTCCTTCCATAGCCAGATGTATGGTCGTCTTCTTCAGTTAAAGAGGTCTGCTTTCCCCAGGATTATACTTTGAAGTACACCTTTTAGAACTATGTTTTCTTCATGCCCCCAACCAGGGATTAAACTCAGGGATACTTAGCCACTGAGCCACATCCCCAGCCCTTTGAGACCAGGTCTCAATAAGTTGCTTAGGGCCTTGCTAAGTTGCTGGGGCTGGCTTTGAACTTGTGATCTTCCTACCTCTGACTCCTGAGTTGCTGGGATTACAGGCATGTACCACTGCGCCGAGCTAGAACTGTTTTCAAAATCTGTGCCAAGAGCCCCCTGCATAAAAGCATCACCGGATGTACTCACTAGCATGTAGATCCATCCCCACTCCTCCTAGACCTATTGAATCAGCATCTCAGATTCTGAACTGTAACAAATATCCACCTGGTCTAGGGCAAGGATTCTCAACCAGGAATGATTTTGCCACCCAGAGGACATTTAACAATGTCTAGAGACTTTTATTTTTAAGGTCCTGGGGATTGAATTTGGGATGCTTTACCACTGTACTATATCCACCTTTAATTTTTTTTTTTTTTTAATTTAATTTGAGACATGGTTTAACTAAGTTGTTGAGCCTGGTTTCAAACTTGTGACTCTCCTGCTTCAGCTTCCCTAGTGACTGGGATTATAGATATGCACCCCTGTACCTATCTGGAGACATTTTTGATTGTCACAACTGGAGAGGGGTTCTGTCATCTGGTGGGTGGAGGCCAGGGATACTGCAAAACATCCTACAAGGCCCAGGGCAACTCCCCACGATGTGGAATTAACATGTTAATAATATCGAGGTTGAGAAACTCTGGTCCAAAGGAACTAATTAAGGATAATAAGGAAGGCATTCAGATACTTAAGAGAAATGAAGGACTACTAAGGCTTGGAAGTTTTGTTGATAATGGTAAGGAAGTTGATTCCTTTAAATCTGTTTCTTGGAGAAGTAAGTAAAAGAAGTTATGAGCCACTTGTTTGATAATGGTGGCTCTGTAAAACCACAACATGAATGTTTTGCAGACTTTATCCCATGAGATTGGGCACATATTTGGACTGCGACACTGCCAGTGGCTCACATGCCTGATGCAGGGCTCCAACCACTTGGAGGAAGCTGACCGTCGTCCTCTAAACCTGTGTCCTATCTGTCTACGCAAGTTGCAGTGTGCCATTGGCTTCAATATTGCAGAAAGATACAAAGTAAGTGTGGCGTGGTGGTGGAGGAGGGAAGTGGTTATCTGAGTAACAAACTGACATTTTCAATTAGCTCCTTCTCTAGAGCTGTAATTTATCAGAAGGAAATTAGTGTAAAGATAAGCAGGAAGCTGTGGTTTAAAAAAAAAATGCAAAGAAATACCTTCCTTGAAAACTTCAGGTTGCCTATGCCTTATACTTGCAGTTCTATGAGAAATGGTAAAAGAAGTTTCTCTTCTCATCTAATTAGGGCGAGAGAGCTTGACTGACTTTGCAGAACAAAATACATGTCAGTCTGTGTAGCAAAGTTCATTAAAAAAACTAACTAAATATATATAAACATATGAGCGTGATTTATCTTTCCAAATATGTGACAGAGGTTGTGATGCTCATTAGGAGAAAAGGATGATTTTCTTTAAGAAGAAAGAGGGAAGGTACCAAATCTCAGTGTGCATGAGTGTGTATGCCCACACGTATATCAGTGTGCATTCTGTGGTTACTCATGGGTAACTGCTCATTCAGGGGACTGCACTTAAGTGTCTGCATCCATGCCTTCACACATGTGTCTACCATGCTTCTGCATATACTTACGTGTGTACACTTAAGCATTAAATTAAAGGCATAGCATAATACCTTATGGGATAATTAGCAAGTTGAGAAAAGAAAATTATTATCCTACCACCCTAAAATAAGTAGTGTAAGAATTAGTATATTTCCTTTTCACCTTTTTTCTTATGCATACTTTTGAACACAATTTACAATTATATTTTGTATATTTTGATATGTTCTGTTTTATTCGATGTGGTTTTTTTTTAATACTTATTTTTTAGTTGTAGCTGGACACAATACCTTTATTTTATATATTTTTATATGGTGCTGAGGATTGAACCCAGGGCCTCGCAAGTGCTAGGCCAGCATTCTACCGCTGAGCCACAACCCCAGCCCCTCGATGTGTTGTTTTGTATTCATAACCATCTTTATTAAGTGCAACATCCTCATCCCAGGTCGAGATAACCTGATCTAGACTCAGTTTTCTTTTCTTGCCTAAAACAGCATTGCTAACCTGTGAGTCTTCTGTTTCCTAAGGCACTGGTGAGGTGGATTGATGATGCTGACACACCCAGAGCAACTCCGAAACCTAGTTGTGAAGATAATGTGCATTTACCGAAACCTGTAGAGGCCTTTCAGGATTGGAAAGAGTGGATAATGAAATGCCTTGCTGTTCTCCAAAAATGAGTACCTTCAGATAGGAGTAAATAAAATAAATATTTGCACATTATGCTCTCATTTGGGTTGAAAGCTTCATTGGAATGAACTGTGTACTGACTCTGAGCTGGGTCAGAGTACTGGAATAGAACCTTCTTGAAGCACCTGAACTGAACTGAGGCTCATCTGGAATAAGAAAAACTCCATGACCTCCTTCTCTTCTTGTTTACTAGCCCTGTCTGTGGCAGTGAGCACATCCGTTTCCATTCTTCAAATATGTTTGTGTCTCAAAGAGAGTTAGGATTAGCAGTAACTAGTAAGTAAATAAATACTTTAAAAATAGCTATATATGTCCCAAGGAAAGAACCAACACAATTTTCCAGGGATGCTTTTGTTTTTAGAAGAGATGCTGTCCCTTGCGAGGGGGCCCAGCCAGACCGCCTTTGTGCGCTTTCATGGCCTCCAACTTTGCTGTCTGCATCCTTTTTCTGTGAGCCTTTCTCATCTCAGGCATGCCTTACATCTTCCTTCTTCTTGCTGTTTTATCAGCTTATATCAGTTTTTAACAAATTAAAGTGTGACGTCCTCTCCAAAGTATTTGCACATGACAGTAGCAGTGATACCCATGAGAGAACCATGCAGTTCTCAGCTTTAACTCATTAGTCGTTTGTGAGGGGTATGGCAAACAATGTGTAATGGCATTGGTTTGTGTGGGTTGCACTTATTTCATAGGCTTAGAACAGGTTTTGAGTTTTTTTGTTTTTTTTTTCCTGATACTGGAGGTTGAACCTAGAGATGCTCTACCACTGAACTACATCCCCAGTCCTTTTATTATTTTATTTTGAGACACTAACTTACTAAATTGAGAGACTGGCTGTGAACTTGTGATCCCTCTGCCTTACTTTCCCAAATCACTGGGGATTATAGGCATCGGCCACCAGGCCTGGCAGGTTTCAGGTTAATTTCTGTAATGTCTTTCACTTTTTGCATTGTAAAGTGTTAGAGATGGAGAGTGAGTACAATGGGGTTTCCTGTCAGGATGCTGAGAGTGGCCATGATGGCCTGTCAGGCTGTGACATCAACCAGTTCACGGTGGTGAACAAGTTGAAAGCCTCAGACTTGACAAACCACCTCTCTTGGTCAATGTATCCCAGAAATCTAGAAACTACAGTGAGACATTTTATTGGATGCCAGTGAGCTGACAGCTTTTTCCCACTTTCCTATCTTACCTTCAGGGTAAGACTTTAAAAAAGGGTACTTTTTTTTTTTTTTTTTTTTTAAACTCTGCAACCTAAATTCTTTCATTGTGATTTAGAAGCATGTAAATTTTATGGATTCTGTTATGAATTTTCTTTCCTCCTCAAATAATTTTTAAACCATAGATTGAACTCAAGAGCACTCCACCACTGAGCCACATCCCTGCCCTATTTTGTATTTTGTTTAAAGACAGGGTGTCACTGTTGCTCAGTGCTTCCCTGATGCTGAGGCTGGCTTTGAACTCTCCCAGCCACTGGGATTACAGGTGTGTGCCACTGTGCCTGGCAAATAATATGCTTTTAATTACCACCCATTCTTTATATTTTCTTACAAGGTAAGCATAATTTTAGTCTGGTAGGCCAGCATTAATCACAATCCTAGAAGTTCGAATTTCCTTGGTCAGTAAATTAGGGATTACAGTTAACTGGACAAGGTATAAAGTCCATTTGTGCCTGGTCTGCACATGAGACTGGACAAGGTTGACTGAAACAAATCATTCCCTCTTGTTAAGAATCGAACTAAACAAGCAATCTTAATTGCTGTGTATAACTAATTGTGTACATTTCTGGACAGTTTCTTAAAGTGAAGTTTAAAAATATGATTTGTCTACTGCAACTACATTTTAATGTTCTATATTTAAATCATAGTTTCAAAAAATAATCTTCACTAAATGACCAGAAATCCAGGCAGGTTTTTGCTCTGCAAATGCTGAATGGACATAGTATTGAACTACTAAAGATTTTCCACTGCCTAAAATACTACCTTAGAAATGTGAACTTGAAAGGGTTGTTCAGTTATAAGTCCTGTTCTGGACTTCCATGGAGTTAGCAGTGTATCTTCAATCGAGGGAAAGGATGAAATGGTGACATTTCAGTCCACACAAACTTCTACAGGGAGTGTTAAACAGAGGGACTGGGCAAGGCTCATCCATCTGTTCTTGTCCGCCTGCTTTTTTTAAGCATAAATTTCCCTGATAAGGTTCTTTTATTTATTTATTTAGGTGTTGTGGATTGAACTCAGGGGGGCTTTATCACTAACCTACATCCCCAGTGCTTTTTAAAAAATTTTAAGACAGGGTCTCGCCAAATTGTTGCAGCTGGCTTTGAACTTGCGACCCTTCTGCCCCCATCTCCCTGAGCCACTGGGATTACCAATGTGAGTCACTGACCCCCGCCCCATAATACTTTAAATTTCTAAGCCCTATGAGTTATAGAGGGCCTGGTTGTTTCTTCTTCAGACCCAAAGTGCTAAAATCCAAACAGGCAGCTCCGGGACTGCTATAGCTGGCCCTGCGCTCGCTCGGGCCCTCCCCAGCAGAGCAGGAAGCGCTTCGCTGTCCGGGCTGCGCTCGGGCGTGCAGGCGCGGGACCTGCAGCTGCCAGCAGCCGCGCCACCTGTTTCCGCCCGCAGGGACTTCCCCTAGCCGGATCCGAAGCGTGGAGTCCGCAGCCCGGCCTACCCCGGCGGGCGTCGGGGACCCAGGGTAACCTCCTCCGCCGCAGCCTCCTGTGCAGGCCTGTCTCGGGGGAGTCCCGCGCCACACCCACGCGTGCTGCGCTCTGGGCTTGGCCTTGGAAAATCAGGATGGCGATGGCAGCTGAGCAGTGAGTGGAACCAACTCTCGGGTAGCTCGTTTACAAGTGCTTCATTTAAAAGTTTCCATCTTCGTCACTTTCTAGATTCTGAGATCTAGAGCAGCACCGTCCAACAGAAATGTCATACAAGCCACATGTGTAAGTTTAACTTCTCCAGTGGCCTCTTTGGCAACTGCAAAAAGAAGCAGGAGGGATTAATTTCAGTCACATAGTCAGCCAATGCACCCAAAATACTTCAACATGTAATCATATAAATATTAAGAGATTTTTATATTCGTTTTTCATATCAAGTCTTCGAAATCCGGTGTGTATTTCACACTTAAGCACTTCTCGGTTGGGATTGGGCACATTTCAAGTGCTCAGCCCGTGTGGCTTGAGAGTGCTGTATTGGACCATGTAGCTCCAGATTAGTACAGTTTCTAGGCTGTCTGTAAAGATGTACCCATGAAATTGGGCCAGTAGGAGAGGAAGGCTCCTCGAAGGGTCAGGTAGTGTCCTCTGGTAGCACAGTGAGAGTGAATGGGCTTGGGCACCCAAGGGTCGCTGGGTGCAGCCCTGACTGGGTTTTCCCTCATGCTTTTATTTTCTGGCACAGACAGCTTCTTACCCTCCCCTCTGGTTGCCAAAGGCCTGGTATCTCCTTGAGATGAATTCTCATTTTTGGAAAGCAGTTGTAAAATGTTCATAATAGGGAGACTGTTGAGTCCATTTGTGGGTGCAGAAGCAAGGCCATGTTAGAGGTCAAGCAAACTGTGGATAGTTAAACCAATGACGAAAATGGGATCAGAGCCCATGCGTCCTGATTGTGAGTTCTGGGTTGTTTTCGCTGTGCAACATGACCTCATGGAAGGAGAATACCACCAGCCCAAAACCAAACCAATTTTTTTTTTCAGATTGTTTACAAAAGGGCTTATAAGATTAAACTTTCTTTCAACTTCTTTTCTTTTTTTTTAAATTTTTTATTGTTGGTTGTTCAAAACATTACATAGTTCTTGATATATCATATTTCACACTTTGATTCAAGTGGGTTATGAGCTCCCATTTTTACCCCATATACAGATTGCAGAATCACATCAGTTACACATCCATTGATTTACATATTGCCATACTAGTGTCTGTTGTGTTCTGCTGCCTTTCCTATCCTCTACTATCCCCCCTCCCCTCCCCTCCCCTCCCCTCTTCTCTCTCTGACCCCTCTACTGTCATTCATTTGTCCCCCTTGTATTATTTTTCCCTTTCCCCTCACTTCCTCTTGTATGTACTTTTGTATAACCCTGAGGGTCTCCTTCCATTTCCATGCAATTTCCCTTCTCTCTCCCTTTCCCTCCCACCTCTCATACCTGTTTAATGTTAATCTTCTTGAAGTTGATATAAGGAGATCAACTTCTTTTCTATTCAAGTGGGGCCATCTGGGGTTGCTCAAAGTCAGAGAAATCAGTCCACGTACTCTTTGCCTTGGAGCCTCTGCCGGTGCGCGCGCGCGCACACACACACACACACACACACACACAAGAAAAAAAGGTACACTGTTTAGAAAAGCAGTTGTTATCAGTAGTTGAGGCATTCAAGGATTATAAAAAAATGTCAATGTGGACTGGGGATGTAAATCAGGGGTAGAGTACTTAACTAGCATGCATGAGGCCCTGGGCTCTGTCCCCAGTAAGAATTTTTTAAAAAGTGTATTTCCATATAACATAGAGAATTTTGAATGTTTCCAACAAAAAAAATGATAAATGGGATGATATGCCAGTTACCCTGATCTTATCAGTAAACATTGGATACATATAATGTCACATTGTACCCCATAAATATGTGTAATCACACATATGTGTAATTATATATGTCAAAAATAAAAAATATATATATTCAAAATCTTCTGGAAAACAGGTGGTTAAAACAGAATCCACATGGACAATAGCCCTCCATTTGCATATTTAACCTACTGTTAATTTCTGCTCATGGATGAGTTTTTTCCACTCAAGCTGATACAGCCACATAGGACACTCCTGCTGGGTACCTTGAGACCTCTCCTCAGCTGCTGGACCAGTGGGCTCTGAGCATAGTGCTTCAGTGTCCTAATGTCCTCTACCTTTTTTGTAGCACACTGGGCTCTCTTGAGCTTTATTTGTAAATAGATACCAGGTTTTTTTCTCAAGAGGGGAAAAAAAGTCAATGAAAAATAATGAGCTCATTCATTCATTTACATATTTTTTCAATAATATTTATGGAACATCACCTGCCACGTGTTAGGCCCTATTCAAAACCTTGAGGATATATAACAATGAATAAAAATCTGCTGTCCTGCCAGCAGGTGGTGCATGCCTGTAGTCCCTGCATCTTGGGAGGCTGAGGCAGAAGGATTGCAGAATTGAAGCCAGTTTCAGCAATTTAGCAAGGCCCTAAGCAACTTAGCAAGATCCTTTCTCAAAATAAAAAATAAAACAGGTCAGGAATGTGGCTCAGTGGTTAAGTGTCCCTGGGTTCATTCCCCAGTACAAAAACAAAACAAAAATGAAAAACTGTGATCCTAATGTATTAGTGGAAGAAACAGATAATCAAGGAATAAACAACTACTTTTATGTCAAAGAATAGAAACATACTATTTTGGATAGGATAATCAGGAATGCCTTCGTAGGTAGGAGACATTTGGAGGTGACCAAATTAAAAGGTTACACCACATACACCTCTAAGTGAGGGTATATCAGGCAAAGGGAACCTCAAGTGGTGTGGCCTGAGGCTTAGCATATTTGGAGGGCGGGGGGAAGTACTGGCATTGGGAGTTCATCCAGTGCCCTTCCTTAAGGACCGATGTCTGGGGCTGGGGATATGGTTCAGTCGGTAGAGTGCTTGCCTTGCATGCACAAGGCCTGGGTTCAATTCCCAGCACGACAAAAAAAAAAAAAAAAAAGACCAATGTCTAACTTGTGATTTAAAAGGATTATCATGGCTGCTATATGGGAAATTAAGTCTGGGTTGTGGGTAGCAGGAATGGAAACTGGCAAACAAGCTAGAAGATGATGGTAACAATCCAGTTAAGACGATATTGGCTTAGATCAAGGGTGTGATGGAGTCTGCTGAAGCATTCAGGTTCTGAATATATTTAGAAAGGCAAGCTGATGGGGTTTGGCGAGGAGCGGGGGGTTGGAGGAGGAAGATCCAGAGTTCCCCTGGGGACATTTTACACTGGAGGTGCCTGGTTGATTTCCATGTGCTGCCACGTGGGCACCTACAAGGCTGGAGCTCAGGGGCAAAGCCGGGGACTAAGGCTGTGGAGGAGATGCTTAAAGCTCCGGCTGGATTCCAGGGTAGGTGGCTCGGGCGGCCGGAATGCTTGTTGTTTTCTTGTTACTGGGAAGGTGTGTCAATGATATAAATACATAGCCACAGTTTGTGTTTTCTCTCAATAATCTTTGGCGAAGCGTTCTGGATATCAGCCTTGTTGTCTAATTTGTCCTCTAGGAAAATAGGCGCTGAAGGAAATTTGAGTTGAGTGTGAGAGTTTTTGCATGAGTAGATAGCAAAGTTGCTAGTTCTCTGTGCCCTTAGAGACGTTATAAAGACTGGACACCAGGGGGACCCATTCTCCTTCGTCATTTGTAGAGGAGGGCCCACCGGTCGGATGTGCTTGCCGTGGCTTAGGACACATATCTGCATCCAAGACAGATCTGAAGACAGGGACAGCTTCTCTTTTCTCAATGCAATGTCTACTTGTAGGAGTGGTCTTTTAGCGCATAACATGTCTGAATTGTCTTTAAGTTGACTGTGTTCAGTAATGTTCATAACCATTTAAAAATTTGAAGCCCATGACTTCTGAACTCTAGATCCCTTTTACTTAAAAATAAGGATCATGATATCTGGGTGTCGTGGTCTAAGCCTATAATCCCAGCTACTCATGAGACTGAGGCAGGAGAATCACAAGTTCAAGACCAGCCCAGGCAACTTAGCAAGACCCTATCTCAAAATAAAAAGAGCTGTGAATGAGCTTAGTGTTAGAGCATTTGCAGAGCATGCACCAGGTCCTGGGTTCAAGTCTCAGTACTGGAAAAACACAATCAAAACAAAAAACAACAGATCATGGTGATTTTAAGTTAGAATATTTGTAGCAGAGAATGAATATCTACAGGTAATAAATACCTTCAGGTGACTTGAATCTGGGCCATTGAAAGCTGGATGTAGAATGAATTTTCTGTTTTATCCCTTGGGATTAAGGTAAAGGCAAGGCAAATAAATGCACGAAAACTACATAAGACAGTATTGGAGCATAGAATCGATGACTTTGTTAAGAGATTCAGAAGCATCATTTCAGTTAAAGATGCATTTATCTTAACAGGACATATGATCATAACTCATTTTTACAACTGGAATAATTTTACTTTTGGGGAGGGAAACCATCTACGTTAATACTGAAACATTATGAAGTTAACAGGCTTAAGACAGAATCTCTTTCATCATGGATATAAAAACTGATAGTTATTTCATGAATGAGTTTCAGCTGGCTCATCTTTCCTGTCCTTGGGATCTAAGAATGACTTTGACCACAGTGATCCTTTCCTATCAATCAAGATTGTTATTTTTCACAATGGTGCTACTGGCTTGGAGCAAAGATCAGAAATTATTGACAACAGGCCAAAACCAGTCCACCACCTATTTTTAAAATAGCCCTCAAACTAATAATGACTTTAACATTTTTATGTGATTGAAAAAAAAATCAAAAGAATATATCATGTGGGACAGTTCATATAAAATTCAGATTTCAGCATAATAAAGTTTTATTGAAACATAGCCACACTCATTCATTTATATATTGTCTGTGGCTGCCTTTGACCTACAACAGCTGCGTTGAATAGTTTCGACAGAGACCTCATGATCCAGAAAGCCGTGACTGTTCACTGTCTGGACCTTCGTAGATAAAGATTGCCAGCCCCTGGCATGGAAAGTCTGTGCTATTTACTCAGGGGTTAGAAAAGCCTTGCCTGTAATCCCAGCAACTCAGGAGGCTGGGGCAGAAGGATCGCAAGTTTGAGGCCAGCCTCACCAATTTAGCAAGATCTTGTCTTAGGATTAAAAAGGACTGGAGGTGTGGCTCAGTGGCAGAGTACCCCTGGGTTCAACCCAAAACAAAAAATAAACATTGTTAGGACCATTCTATAACTGAGTTTAGATAGTCGTGTTAGCTTTCTATTGCTGTGACAAACTACCTGATATAAATATTTTAAAAAGGAGGAAAGATTTATTTTGGCTCATAGTTCCAGTTTCCTGTCTGTGGTTGCCTAGACTTGTTGCTCTGAGCCTGTGCTGAAGGGGAACGTCAAAGCCACTCACCTGCTGGTGGCCAGGAAGGAGAGACACACACAGGGAGGCAGAGAGGGAGGGGTCAGGGTCCCAAGGCCCTCTTGAAGGGCATGGCCCAGTGACCTAACTTCCTCCGATAGGCCCCACGCCTTCACTCTCCCGTGGGGCCACAGGCTGCCAACCAAGGCTTCAGAACTTGGCCTTGGGGGGACATTTAAGATGTAAACTCTTACAATAGTCTTAACTATTTGCCTTCCGTACTTTTTCTTTTTGGCAGTACTAGGGATTGAAGCCAGGGACACTCAACCACTGAGACCTTCTTGAGACTGACTGGCTAAGTTGCTCAGACTGGCCTTGAACTTGGGATCCATTGCCTTTCTTACTTTTGACAGGCTTATTTAATTTGGGAATCATATCATTTCCTTCATATGTTTTGGGAATGGAACGCAGGGCCTGGTACACAATAGGCAAGCACTGCACCACCAATCTCCATTCCAAGTTCCTCATTTTTTATTAAAAATTAAGTTCAGGTACCAGGCTTGGTGGTGCACTCCTGTAATCCCAGGATCTTCGGAGGCTGAAGCAGGAGGATGGAAAGTTTAAGGCCAGCCTCAGCAACTTAGCAAGGCCCTAAGCAACTTAGCAAAACTCTGTCTCAAAATCAAAATGGATGGGGATGTAGCCCAGCAGTTAGACATTGCTGAGTTCACTCCCCAGAATAACAACAACAACAAAAAGTGTTCAGCCATTCCTTTTATTCACATTTCAGTTCTTAGCTCAAAATAGGACTCTTCACTTGATTATATTGTAACATTTTATTTCCCTCTCTTGTTATGCATTAATGAATACTTGCCTTAAAATTATTTGCAGTTTTTATTTTTATTTTGAGAGAGAGAGAGAGAGAGAGAGAGAGAGAGAGAGAGAGAGAGAGAGAGAGAATTTTTTAATATTTATTTTTCAGTTTTCGGTGGACACAACATCTTTATTTTTATGTGGTGCTGAGGATCAAACTCAGTGTCCCGCGAGCGCATTACCGCTGGAGCCACATCCCCAGCCCCATAAAATAAGTTTTTTTTTTTTTTAATTTTTTTGATGGTGCTGGGGATTGAACCCAGGGCCTTGTGCATGTGAGGCAAGCACTCTACCAACTGAGCTATATCCTCAGCCCTGCAGTTATTTTTAATTTAATTACTTTAAAAATTATTTATAGGAAAGATCCAATAAAAATAAAATTGTCCTGATTTTTAAATTTTATTTCTGCATTACTAGAGATTGAGCCTAGGAGTGCTCTATCACTGAGCTATATCCTCAGCCCTTTTTAATTTTTAGACAGGGTCTTGCTAAGTTGCTGAGGCTGGCCTCAAACTTATGATCCTCCTGCCTTAGCCTCACAAGTAGCTGGGATTATAGATGTGTGCCACTGTGCCTGGCTTGTCCTGTGTTTAATAACAGAAAAAGAAAAGCTCAATAGATACTCCTAGGAACCTTTATGTGTCTCCTGTAGGGCTAAAAGATTTTACAGAAAAATTTAAAAAATTATTCATTTGAAATGAATGTCCTTGAGCTTTTATAACTTTTCATTGTGTATAATGAATATTATATTGAAAAACTTTACCACAGAAGAAAATCAGTCTCTTTAAATAAAAAGCCATAAATTTATTGCAAATCTAGAAGTACCAGAATGTCACTAATACAGAACAAATCAGCAATCTTTTTATTTTCTTCCAAACATTTAAAATCTTGATAATTGACATACTGAAATTGGCATACATATTTTTTTTTCTCATGCAGTTAACAGAATGGACACAGAGCAGATCCCTCAAAAATCAGTTATAAATATTAAATTGTGTTGAACATTCATAGTACAAAATATGTTGTAAAGTGCTGAAGTCATGTAGGTCTACAAACCTGCCCCGGGCTCAGAGTGTTCCCGAGCCGTGGCAGACGTGTGCTACATCCACCTTGTTTTAGGTGTGTCTGTTTTGGACAGACGCTTTGTCATTTCCTCCCTTGCCCTCCCCAAAGTTTTACCGATTGTCCTATTTCTATGGCTGATAAAATGCTGTACAAAATGTAGTCGGTGGTGATGAACTATGTCACTTTCATCTCAGTGCACAGAAATATTCAAGCTTGTGTGTACCTGGAACCAAACTAGGCTTGTTATATTTTTTTCCCCCTGAGTTGTCATAAATTAACAGTAAGATGAATAAAGATGGAGCAGCAAGCACTGATCACCACCTGGAGGGTGAGGTTCAGTAAAACAGGTGAGGAAACAGGCCACCTCTTATCTTCTTGATGAAAACTGCTAAAATGAGAAAGACTATACATGTAGTGTGACTCCAAAACAATAATGGCCACAATCGAGTTCTAGGTCAGACGAGAGTTCTACCTTGTAACTTGTGATGGTAACATAAATGTCTCTGCTACTCCCCAATGAAATACAGAAATTCTTCAACAGTAAAGGTTTGACAAAATCAGAAATGCTTCAACGATTCAGTGAACTATAATTTTGATCAAAGAAGATCCTCAAGTATTCTTAGGTGATCAAAGAAATCATCTTTTAAAAGCTAAGGCGATTTGCTCTCCATTATTTTCCCCCTTTACATAGCACACGCTACCTTTAATCAAATTGAAGGATCATTGCAATTTGGCCTTGTATGAGAGTAACTTTATAAGACAAGAAGTACTTATTGAGGCATTTAAAGGATTGCGGGAAGGAGGTAAAAATGCCGTTGATGTCTCGGATTATGTTTTATTTCTTTTGATTAATCATCCTAGAATAACTTAATAATAAATAGTGGTTTAAATTAAAGACATTATAATCACATATTTCTGAATAATTAAAAGCAACAGGAAATACATTTTTGAATGCAATTCCATATCTTCTGTATTGAAATACTTTTGGTGATGACTGGCCATAAAAAGAAGTGGTCTTCTTCACATTTATGACATTCAAGTTATATATTTAAAATTTTCTGCTTATTGATCAGATGTTTGGTCTTAAACTATATTTCATTTCTGTGCAGTATTTGGAAAGCCAGAGGCCATAATTTGTTAATGGACACCTCAGTATTTTTCAGCTTCTTTTTAAAAACAATTTACTTGTCTTTCTGAAAAATCAGAAATCTTTTAAATGATTCAAGATTTTTTTTTTTCTGGGCGGGGATAGGCAATTTCATTTCAATGACCTGGGCTAGAAGTCATTTTAGAAGATAGTGGTTTATCACATGTGAATGCTCTTCCAACCACTCGGCCAATTCATTGTCACTCTTTTAATACTGGATCAGAACCAGAGTTCTTCTATGAGTTTGTATTGCTACTGAATACAGCCAGATTTATACACAGAAGAGAGTTTGGTTATTTTTGTTTTGGCTTAAAAAAATAAGCAAAAAGGAAAATTTAGGGCAAAAAGAAAAAAATGTTGGTAGTGCTGTTTGCATACACATTCCCTTTAAAATGCAGGTCTGAAGGGGTGTCAGCTCCCCTACCTCCCTGTGGTCCTTGCAGCACCCCCTTCCCAGCCAACATGGCCGCTGCTGTTACAGGAAAACCTGTTACACTGGCTCTACTTTCACTTGAGTTCTTTGCTCGTTTTTCCCAAGATCCATTTCCAGAAAGTCTTCGGGTATGTCTTGTAACGCCTTCCCCCGTTGGGGCTCAGCCTGCGCTTCTTCTGAGTGCCCAGGCTGGCACAGTCCCCTTTTGCATGGTCTCACCAGGGCGAGGCACACTGCAGCTATGGACATGCCTGCTGCACAGGAGTAGAAGGCCCTGCTGTAGATCCTGCTCTGGTCCACCAGCAGACCTGCAAGAGAGCAGTGGCACTGTGATGCTGTGCACCTCCACCCAGACGCCCAGACATGCTAGAAACTTCTCAGTGCCTCCCTTCCTCTCCCCCACCCCAATCATTGATTGGTGCATCGTAGCTGCACGTAACGATGGGATCTGTTGTTAGAATATCTGCTCGTGCACACACTATTCTTTTGTTTTTTTCTAATGCTGGATTGGAGGGGAAAAAATAAATCGAACCCACGGCACACTTAGCACCTGAAAATACAAATTGCTAAGCTGTTCGTCATGGGCTCCGTCTGTCCCCGTAGAGAGTCTGAATTGTGGGGACAGGTACGTGCGTGTTTCTTTGAGAAAGTGATAATGTCGGAAAGAGCTGCATTGTTTTTACTGGCGTTCCCTTTCGTACCTTTCAACAGGGCAAGATTTCTAATCACGACAATTTTAAGGACACATCACATCAGATCTAAGATATGAACTGGACGTGTAACCTCCTGCAGGGGTACTCCGCCCTGATCGCTCAGGTGTGTGCAGAGTGTTGCAATGTGCTCAGGTCCCAGACACCTGGCAGCTCCAACATTCAGCAAAAGTGTCCCAGTGGAAGTAGATTTTAAAGTTATGATTTGAACAGGAAGCTCACGACCAACCAGGGGGAGGTAGACCAGGGTGTGTGCCCTGGGTGTAAGTTACCTGCTAGGGGTGGGCCTGCCAGCCCTGCGATGCTCTGGATGAAGACATAGACTCCAGCGGCAGAAGAGATCTTCTCAATCCCCACCACGTCATCTTCGGCGAGCATTGGAATGTGGGTCCCCCCTATAGTTCCAACCATGAACCCAAAAAATATGCTACAGGACATGAGGCCCCAGAATTCAGTAGCAAAGGTGAAGGCGAACAGGGACATGGTCAGCAGGATGACGCAGATGAGCTCAATGTAGATCTTTCGGATGGGCTCTCGGTTGAGGGCAAACCCGGCTCCGATCCGACCAAAAACTTCAGCAATCGCCATTGTCGATAATAAAAACGCCGCACGATCTGGGTCAATGCCCAGGCTGATGCCCAAAGGAATGATGTACAGGGAAGGGGCAAAGAACCCCAGGGTGGCAAAGAGACCGAATAACGCGTAACAGATAAAACTCTTCTCTTTCAAAATCGAGAAGTCTAACAGCGGGGCTTTCTGGTCCCCTGGCTTGGAGCCAGCCTTCACCAGGGTCTGCTGCAGGTCAGTCCTGGGTTCCAGTTCTGGGTTCGTGTGACTAGGCACATTTTTGGGTGAGGTAGTTAGTTCTACTCCTGAGTCAATGGAGTCTATTGAGGTTCTGGTTTTCTCATTTTCAAGCATATATTGCACTTCTTTCCGGCTTTCGTGGGTGACTGTTTTCGGTGACACTGGCCCTCTGATAATGATGGGTCTCAGCAGTGCCCCGCAGACGACGATGTTCAGCTGCAGGAGGCCCACGAACAGGAGGCTGTGTCTCCAGCCGATGTGCTCCTTGAGAGCCGTGATGGCTTCAGAGGCAGCAGCGAAGAAAGGAGAGAAAACCCGAGGTCAGTGAGGGGCTCCAGACCCAGGAGAGCACGGATACGGACTAGGTTTTGGTTTGTTTAATGAATCAATAAGGAGAATGTGCATCATAGTTCTTACGTATAAAAATGTTCAGCCCAGGCTCCAGATGATCTTTGGAAGGTGCCGTTTTCTAGGGAGATGCGAGAAGTGAAATAAGGACCCTCCCCCCCAAAAAAAAAATAGAGTTAATACCTGGCACCCTATCCTATCTGGTCATAATGTAAGGAAATTAGAAATCAATGATAAAATAAAAAATAGAAGCTCTGCTAACACCCAGAGACTAAATAATACTCTATTGAATGACGAACAGAGAGTAGAAATCAGGAATGAAATAATAAAAAAAAATACTTAGGGGTAAATGAGAATAGCGATATAACATCAAAATCTCTAAGACAGTCTAAGAGGCAGTGCTAAGAGGAAAACTCGCTGCATTCATTAAAACGATAGACAGTCAACAAACAAATAACCTAACATTACATCTCAAAGCCCTAAAAAAAGAACAAATCAACACCAAAAGCAGAAGATGGGAAGTAATTAAAATCAGAGCTGAAATCAATGAAATTGAAACAAAGGAAACAATAAAACAAAAAAACCCAACAAAAAGTTTGTTCTTTGGAAAAAAAAAATCAATAAAATGGATAGTCCCTTAGCTAAGTTAACAAAGAAAAAGAAAACTCAAATTACTAAAATTTGTGATGAAAAGGAAATATCACAGGGGACACTACTGAAATACAGATAATAATCAGAACCTATTTTGAAAATTTATAAAAAATCTTGACGATACTGACAAATTTCTAGAGACACATGACCCAAATTGAATCAGGAGGACATAGAAAATTTCAACAGATGAATTTCAGTTGATGAAACTGAAGACACCATCAAAAGCCTACCAAGAAAGAAAAGCCCAGGACCAGACGGATTCTCAGCCGAGTTCTACCAGACCTTCAAAGAAGAATTAACGCCAACCCTAACCCTCCAGTTATTCCATGAATGAGAAAAAGAGGGAAACCTTCCAAACTCATTCTATGAAAGCAGTATCACCCTGAACTAATGAGAAACCAGATAAAGACATCAAGGAAAGAAGATTTCAGACCAACATCCCTGATGAAAATAGATGTAAAATTCTTAATAAAATATAAATCGCATATAAAGACATTAAAAAGATAGTGCACCATGATCAAGTGGGGATCATCCCAGGGATGCAAGGTTGGTTCACATACAGAAATCAATAAATATAATTCATCACATCAATTGACTTAAAGAATCACATGATTATTTCAATAGATGCAGAAAAAGCATTTGACAAAATACAACATCCATTCACGTTCAAAACACTAGAAAAACTAAGGATAGTAGGAACACACCTCACCATTGTAAATGCTATATATGCTAAACCCAAGGCCAACATCATTCTACGGAGAGAAATTGAAAGCATTTCCTCTAAAAACTGGAACAAGACAGGGATTGCCTCTTGTACCACTTCTATTCAACATAGTCCTGGAAACTCTAGCCTGAGCAATTAGAAGAAAGAAATTAGCAGGATACAAATAGGAAAAGAATTCAGACTATCCCTATTTGCTGACGACATGATTCTATATTTAGAAGACCCAAAAATTCCACCAGAAAACTTCTAGAAATCATAAATGAATTCAGCAAAGTAGCAGGATACAAAATTAACATCCATAAATCAATTGCATTCCTATATAACAGTGATGAATTAACTGAAAGAGAAGTTAGGAAAACTATCCCATTCACGATGGCCTCAAAGAAAGTAAAATATCTGGGACTAAATCTAACAAAAGAGGTGAAAGACCTCTACAATGAAAACTACAGAACACTGAAGAAGGAAATTGAAGAAGACCTTAGAAGATGGAAAGATCTCCGTTGTTCTTGGATAGGCAGAATTAATATTGTCAGAATGGCCACATTACCAAAAGCATTATACAGATTTTAATGCAATTCCTATTAAAATTCCAAAATGATGTTCTTCATAGAAATAGAAAAAGCAGTCATGAAATTAATTTGGAAAAATAAGAGGCCCCGAATAGCCAAAGCAATCCTCAGTGAGAAAAGTGAAATAGGAGGCATCATGAGAACAGACCTTAAATTATACTACAGAGCTAGAGTAACTTAAACATCCATTCAGCACGGTATTGGCAGCAAAACAGACATGAAGACCAATGGAACAGAACAGAAGACACAGAGAGAAACGCACATAAATACAGTTATCCCATACTAGGCAAAGCTGCCTTAAACGCATATTGGAGAAGACAACCTCTTCAACAAATGGTGCTGGGAAAATTAGAAATCCATATGTAATAAAATTAAATTAGGCCCACATCTCTCAGCACAAAACTCAACACAACGTAGATCAAGGACCTAGGCATTGGACCACAGACCCTCGGCCTATTAGAAGAAAAAGTAGGACCAAATCTCTTGTCGTGTCGGCTCAGGAACCAAATTCTTCCTAAAGTGTAAGAAGTAAAATCAAGAATCAATAAATAGAATTGTATCAAACTAAAAGCTTCTTCACAGCAAAAGAAACAATCAAGAATAGGAAGAGAGAGCCTACAGAATGGGAGAAAAATCTTTGCCACCTGCACCTCAGACATAACATTATTCTGCAGGTTATATAAAGAACTCGAGGGGCTGGGGTTGTGGCTCAGAGGTAGAGCACTTGCCTAGCATGTGCAGGGCCCTGGGTTTGATCTCAGCACCACATAAAAATAAATAAAATAAAGGTATTTTGTCCCACCACAACTAAAAAATAATTAAAAAAAAAAAACTCAAAAAATTTCAACCAAACAGATAACTCAATCAACAAATGGGCAAAGGAAATGAACAGACACTTCAAGAAATATGATGGTCAACAAATATATGACAACGTCACTAGCAGTAGAGAAATGCAAATTGAAACTACACTGAGATTTTCATCTCACTTCGGTCAGAATGGCAATTATCAAGAATACAAGTAACAATGTTGACAGGGATGTGAGGAAAACGTTCACTCATACACTGCCGGTGGGACTGCAAATTGGGGTAACACTCTGGAAAGCAGTATGGAGAGTCCCCAGAAAACTTGGAATGGAGCTACTATTTGACCCAGTGATCCCACTCTATGGCATATACCCAAAGGACTTAAAATCAGTCACATCAATGTTTATAGCAGCTCAATTCACAATAGCTAAGCTATGGGAGCAACCTAGGAGTTCTTCAATGGTTGAATGGATAAAGAAAATTTAGTACATATACACAATGGAATATTAATCAGCCATAAAGAAGAATGCAATTATGGCATTTGCCAGTAAATGGATGGAACTGGATAATATCTTGCTAAATGAAATAAGAGAATCCCCCCCCCCCAAAAAAAAAAAAACAAAAAACAAAGGCTGAATGTTCCCTCTGATATGTGAATAGTGACTCACACTAGGGGCAGTGGAGTGGAGGTTCACTGGGAGTGGACAGGGGAGAATGGGGGGAAGAGAGGGAGGATAGAAATGGGAGAAAGGATGGGGGATGGGAATGGGAAAGACAGAATGAACTGGACATAACTTTCCTACATTCGAATGTGAATTCACAACCAGTGTGGCTCCCCATCATGTACAACCACAAGAACGGGAAGTTACACTCCATGTATGGATGATATGTCAAAACACATTCTAGGAGTTGTGGAAGAGACTGTATAATCCACAAAGCCTAAACAATTTATTCTCTGGCCTCTTACAAACAGAATTCACCAATCACGGAGCCGTACGTATCCTTGCACACCCACTCATTCAGTCCTTAGGAGTAGTGGATTAAATAAAAAATAAATTGTGTGTGGTGGTGCCCGCCTGTAATCCGCAGGAGGCTGAGGCAGGAGGATGGCAAGCTTGAAGCCAGCCTCAGCAACTCAGCGAGGTCCTAAACAACTCAGTGAGACCCTGTCTCAAAATCAAAAAATAAAAAGGGCTGGGATGTGGCCTTTATCTCAGACCTATGGTTCCTCCCATTAACAGGGAAGGCTTAGACTTGCCAAGGAGCGTCGAGCTTCGAGCTCTGTCCCCATCTGGCAATAACTGGTCCAATTTCCCTTTCTCCGTGCACCATTTCTTGAGCGCCCACAAGGGGCCAGGGATGTGCCCAGAACCAGGACACAAGGCTGAGCAGGACTGTCTCCACCCTCAGACACTCACAGTCCACTGATGGTTTCTCCCCTCAACATTTCATTTGGAAAATTTCTAAACCGACAGCAAAGTGGAAAACCAATACTGCGGTGGCCCCCCACTCGGTCCTCCCAGTTAACGTGCCTCTCGCTCTCTGGACCTGTGACAGCACACATGCAGTCAGCTCTCAGAACCATCTGGAAGCTCCAGCATTGGGACATGTCACTCCTAAAGGCTCCTGCCTGTGTCTCCTACCCGCCAAGTGCAGTCCGTGGGCAGGATCGTCATGAACTGGGAAAGGACGCATCCTAGACTCCACAGTTACCTGCCTACTGCTTTAGTTTTCTTGTAATTCACATGTGGACATTGAATTAGGGAAACAAAGGGTGATATTTTTGCTGTGAGATTATCCATATACACATAAAACGGACTTCACTAGCATGACTTAAATCCACATTCGAAAAGTAACAGAAATAAAATATACAAATCACGAAATTATTTTGGAACGATTTTGCATATTTCAAGAAAAAGCCTTATCATGGAATGTGTAGCTTCCTACTGACATAAATTCTCTCCGACCTGATATTCAGAGTAGCTCCCCCCTTCCACAAGACAGCTGCCATCACCTACCTGGTGCAAAAGCAAACACGGCGAAACATTCTCCCGTAGAAGCGACAGCGGTGACTACTGAGCGTCTTTTGTCAAAGTATTGTGACAGAATGGTGACGGTGGGCAGAAAGCTAAAGCAGTAGCCCAGACCTGTGAGGGAGAGAAGGAGCCGTGAGAGCCACGCACTGACGGACCCTGAAGGGTGTGTCCAGAGACACAGGGCTCCGCAGGGTGTGATGGTGCACACCTGTAATCCAGCACCTCGGGAGGCCGAGGCAGGAGATCACATGTCGAGGCCAGCCTCAGCAACTGTCTCAAAGTAAAGAGGGCTGGGGATGTAACTCAGTGGTACAGCGCCCCTTGGTTCAATCCCCAGTACTGGGGGGTGGGGTAGGGGGGTTGGGGAGGGTGGGAAGGAAGAAAAGATTGAGGGTTTCTGTGTGTAGGTTTTTAGAATAAGAAGTGTTCTGCGAGCCCTGTAATTCATCCTGGAGAAAGGTATCGTAGCAAAGAAAAGTGGGTTTATGAAAAGTCGAGAGAAGCTGGGTGCATTGGGCATCGGGACATTCTGTAATCCTAAGTACTTGGGAGGGTGAGGCAGGAAAGTTGTCAAATTTGAGGTCAGCCTGGGCAAGTCAGTGAGATCCTATCTCAGACAATACAGAGGGCTGGCGATGCAGCTCCGTGGCATGCACAAGGCTCTGAGTGTGATCCCCAGCACTGGAAAATTAATAAGGTTATTAATAAATTAATAAAGCTGTTCATAGTTGTTTGGGGAAGTTAGGAGCAATAAAAACTAGGATTTATATTGGGAAATAAATATGTCTTTTGGCAGGGGTAAACATGAAACCACGGAAGTATGCAGATTGAACTAGCCACCTCAGATCAGTCAGGAGCAAGGTCTGCACTCCTTTTGGAAGTCTTGGGTTGTGAAATGACGTCTTGGTTGCATACTAGAGCAAAAGAGCAGCTGATCTTCATCGCTGGTAAATATTAAAAGAAGAAGAAACAAAACCTCTGGGGCACTTGAAAATAAGCTTCCCTGGCCCCTGCAGTCTACACGGGGGCGGGAAACCTCAAGACCCCTGATCCCAACTGTTATTAATATTAAAGAACTAGAGAGAGGAAAAAGAGGATTTGGGCTTCATGTCTTCCCGCCCTTCCTTGTCCTTCAGACTAGGTGTCTCTGAACATCTGAGCTGGGGACACTCACCCGAGATGAGCCCGATGGTGATGTACATGTGGTAAACCTTCTGGGAGAAGGAGGCGGCCACCATCCCGGTGCTGACCAGCAGCCCTCCTGCCATCACCACCAGCCGGTGTCCAAAGCGGTTGCTCAGAATGGTGGACAGGGGAGCTGCAGGAAAGGGACAACAACATCAGAATGACCCCAAATGACCCGTTTATTCCTGGAGGCTGGAGGGTCGGCTCCAGGGAGATTCCTACCCCCGCCCCCCAGTTTTGAACAGGGAGCGAGGATGTCAAACACACACTACATTTCATGTGGTGGCGACTGAGGCCAGTTCAAAAATTATTTTAGAATTTGTTCAAATGAAACAAGATTTTCTGGGATCTTTAAAGAGAAATCCAAGGTATAGCCGGGTGTGGGCGTGCACACCTGTGATCCCAGTTACTCAGGAGGCTGAGGCAGGAGGACTGCACGTTGGAGGACAGCCCAGGCAACTAAGACACTGTCTCAATAAACAGACAAATAAATAATAAGTAAATAGGGTTGGGGATATAGCTCAGTGGTAGAGCACCCCTGGATTCAACCCCCAGTGCCAAAAAAAGTAAACGGCAGAGAGATTGGGGGTGTAGCCCTGGGGCAGAGAGCTTGCCTTGCATGCATGGGGCCCTGTGTTTGATCCTCAGCACAGAATAACAGGATAAAATTTATATCTCTATCTTTTTAGATTATATCTCTATTTTTAGATATTTGAAATTTATATCTATATTTTTAGATCTCAGCCTACCATGAGCATCTCCAAAATTAAATATGCATTTATGTTATTCTATTATAAAAATTGTGGTTTCCCCTTGCTGGTTAAGGTGACACATGCCTGTGGTCTCAGCAAAACTTTGTAACTGAGGCAGGAGGAACACAAGTTTGAGGCCAATGGGGGTCTCAAAATAAAGTAAATAAAAGGGGCTGGGCTTGTAGCTCTACTATAACAAAACAAAACAAAAAGCAGACACCTGCTTTTCCTATGATTGCTTGGATCATTCCCCCCTCTACTCAGTTCACACCTGGAAAGGGCTAGCAATGGGGCAGGTGACTCCAGAGTGGCTGATGGACCATGTGCTCAGGTCTATAGGCTTTCTCCCCTGGGACCCTTCAGTTTAGCAGATGAGTTTCCTGGTTCCATGCGACTTAATATTGCCTTGAGTACAGTGAGACAGGTGAACTTTTGAGAGCCTGGTCAAAGAGGAACGTGCTGAACAGAAGGGTGGGGAAAAGGGACTCGGTTTTGTTGGGCTTAGTCCTGTGTATCTATCGTTAGGTGTAAACATGCAAATTAATATTGAACAGAGCTAATGATGAAATCCCTGCCATCATTTTGAGCTGGTATGTTGTCTCAAAGTCTTAACAGCTGGAATATTATTTAGAATGACTTTCTGGTATCGTCGTATTAACTGGAGTTGACTGCACTGTTAGCTTTGCCTATTAAAGAGCTCAGATTTAAGCATTTATGTTTTCATTTTCTTTAGATTATCAAAATGTAAAATTTTGGTTCTCATTTATTTAAATTATCTTCCTCAGTAAGTGAGCATTCCACAGTTTGGAAAGGAAGTCTTAATAATTAAAATGAGCTGGGGATATAGCTTAGTTGGTAGAGTGCTTGTCTCACATGCACAAGGCCCTGGACTCAATCCCTAGTCATTGCAATGATGATATTATAATAAAAATAAAAATGAAAGTAGGATCTAGTTAATCAAACTTATAAATAAGAGACGGTATGAAGACCAGCAAGAGAGATTCCTGCTCTCTCCAGATGGTAAAAACCCACACGGCAGCCTTTTAAGACACTATATGGGTAAAACCGAACTACAGTTAGAAGGCTTAACTTCAGTGATCATAATGGTTGAATGAAAGGACATCAGGGTGAAGTCGTGCGTAAGGCTGGCCTGGCTGGCTCTCCGACAGGAGCCCTACCCTGCGGCTTTGTCCTCTCAGGAAAGCCTCAGCATTGCCTCTGATGGACAGATGAGTGCAGCAGCCTTAGCATGTAAGTCCAAGGAGGCCACGCAGGACCTGGTGAAAAGCAGTCTGTTAACGATGATCCTAAAACCCCATTTATTTTATGCTGTTGGATCTGAGACTACTACACAAGGATGACTCATTAAGGCCCTTTAGGGAATCAGGCATTTGGAATTCAGTGTTCTTTAGGACACTGTGATCTTACAGTGGTTCCTCGGTAGCCATAGGGGATGGTTTTAGGACCCGTCCCCACCCCCAGGACACCAAAATCCAGGGATACTCCAGTCCCTTACATAAAAATGGCATGATATTTACCTAGGCATATATTCTCCTTACTTGAAATCACCTCTAGATTACTTATGTTACCTGATACAATGTACGTAACACATATATAGTTGTTATACTGTATCTGTTAGGGAATAGAAGTCAGGGCAGGCTTAAAGCAGGCACCACCACCGCAGGCCTAAGGCCGTGGTGCTGCAGGTTGCAAAACACCATTTTCAATCTGCAATTGGTCGAATCTGTGGGAGAGGAACCCCTGCATAGGGAGGGCCCACTGTATACCTTTTTACCCCTCCCCCACCTCTCTTCTGCACGTAGCCACATGTATATGTTTCCGGCCTGTTTTCAAAGCATGTTTTCTATGAGACCAGGGCTTTGAATGTCAGGCATTTGGGATGCCTCTTCTTTAGACAATGACTGTGCATATCTTCATAGAACTGGTTTCGCTGCGATCCTCAAGGGCACTCCTGAATCCTTAAGCTATAAGGAAGGCTTTCGTCAAATGCCTCTTGTTTCTTGCCAATCCCGACCCTCTGAAAACTATTACTTAATTGAAACCAGAAAGGGCCCAGGACATCACAAACACACCTGCTCCCGTCACATCGTCAGGCAGATTGAAAGGGGCAGGTGCTTACATCGTGGCTGGGCCGAAAGACATACTAACCTGTAAACGTTAAGACGAAGACACATATTGACACTATCCATGAGATCGTGCTGTTGGATTCATCAAAACTGTTCATCAAGTCATTAAAGAAGACGCCGAAGGTCTTGATGATACCATAGGAAAAGACTTCCACGAAGAAAAAAGAAACAGCTACCGCCCAGCCCCATCCTCCGTCAGGCACTTGAGTGTACACATTGGCTCTGGAACAAAGCTTTGATTTCATCTGGGTCATTCTTAACCTGAAATAAAAAGGTTTTTTTTTTTTTTTTTAAATTAGATCAGCAATAGCAGGAGGGCTGATCTTGAGCAAATGATAAGAGACACCACACTTCTTAGGTTGTTGGATATTTAAATTATGCAGTTTGTATCATCTTTAGACAATTTAATATCTATTTGTCTGCCCACCTATCTTTGAACTACATTCCCAGGTGTGTTTTTTTTTTTTTTTTGAGACAGGCTCTCCCTAATTTGCTGAGGCTGGACTCCAAATTGTGATCCTCCTGCCTCCTGAGTTGTGATGGCTCCTGAGTTGCTGGGATGACAGGTGTGCAGCACTGAGCCCAGTAAAGCAGAGTGGCCCCAGTACTGATGCTAACCTTAAAGACAAGTGAGGCAGAGACAGGCTGAGCTGGCCCTAAGGAATGCTCATTAGAAATTAAGCCTAGGAGCCAGGCCCAGTGGTGCACATCTATCATTTGCCCACTTGAGGTGGCTGAGGCAGGAGGATTGCAAATTTGAGGCCAGCCCGGGCAACTCGGTGAGACTGTCTCAAAATAAAAGGGCTGAGGATGCTGCCTCAATAAAAAGGCTGAGGATTGAAATTTCAAATAAAAAGGCTGAGGACTGAACCTAGAGCTGAGGATTGAACCTGGGTTCAATCCCTAGTACTGCAAAATCAAAAAACTAAGAAGTGAACCTTCAAACAGGGAAGCCGAAGGGGCAACACTGACAGTTCATCTGGCACCTTCCACAAGACAATGGCTTGAGACATTGTATGTGTCCTGCTGGATGCCACAGGCCATTGGGATCATCCAAGTCTTCGTGCTCCCATTTTGCACTCACTAAGCAACATTCGGATTCTGATTTGGGCTCCCATGTAGCTGTACCTATGTGGTCAGAACCTACCTATGGGCCAAACTATGGAAATCCTGTCTTCTGACAGTTTGTTCCGCGTTCTTTCCTTAAAGGTGATCCCCACTTGGTGTATTAGCTACTCAGTTTCAGAGCACATGACAAGTCTTCGAGAATGCAGTGACTAATTAACCTGTCTGGGCAATGCCCTGTCTGGGCACCAGCTACCCCTGACCTCCCTAGGCCTTTCCATTCAAACTGCAACAAACGCTGGTCGAGCAGACCTGAGCCGTAACACCACAAAGAAAGAGGTGACACTGTTCAGTGTGGGAGGAGGCGGGTTTAACCTGAGTCTTCTTGAGTGGACTCTAGCATGTGAATTCTGCAAAGTCTTTGAAGTTACGTTTACTTTCAAGCAATGATATATTTTATATGTTATATATTTTATATATGTATATCTTTTAGCTCAACTAAAAATTAATGATATTTATAATAATAAAGAACTCAGGGCCATGAGAGTTCTTAATGGCCACCAACCTCAAGTTTGAGAATTCTTTACAATTAATTATAGAGCTATGAACAGGTGAATTTTTAGGGTGCAAGCATTGCTAAGGGAAAGGTCTTCCCGGTAATGCAGGCAACTGAAAAATAACAGGATATAAGCTCGGCTGTGCAGTAGGCTTGCGATTCCTGGTCATAAGTTTTAATAATCTTGACTTCATAAAATCTGAAACGGCAAGCTGGGGTGCAGGGGCGCACACCTGTCATCCCAGCTTCCCAGGAGTCTGAGTCAGGAGGACTTCAAGTTTGAAGTCAGCCTCAGCAAGTTAGCAAGATCCTATTTCAAAATAAAATATTAAAAAATGGGGGGCTGGGGACGTGGCACAGGGTAGAGCACCCCTGGGTTCAGTCGCCAGGACTGCAGAAATCAGTCATCTGCACAAAAAAATCCGACCGAGCTTCACATCTCCATTCGCTTAGCAGCCTGGTCCGTGGCAAGGACCCCAGCGCCCACTCTTTGCACTCTGGTACTGTTAAAATACGTGGACGCGTGAAATAGGGCGTAAGATGCTTCAAGAAGCCTGTGCTCTCTGCAGCAAAGGCCCGTGTGGGCACGCTGTGTCATGCCTGAGGGCAAATGGAAAGGTGGCCGGGCGGTGAGAGCGCTCCAGATGCAGGCTGACAGCTAGCGTCACCGTCCGTCTCCCACACAGGAAGCAACTGACCTAAGTGGGCCGGAGCCCTCCAGCAAAGGGCTTTCACAACAGCCCGCCCTGGCTAGCCTTTCCAGAGGAGGCTGCTGGGGCAGAGGAGTGACAGCAGCCCTGGGGAGGGCGTGCTGGGGAAGGAGAGGGCGGTGGGGGGCCTGCGGCAGTCAAGACCTTGGCCTTGGTCCCATGCACAGGGCCGCAGGTTTGAACTTTCCCCTGTGAAGCCCACGGCTCCTTTAATAGCCTCTAAACTGGCTCCCCGCGTCTGTCTGGTTCGATGGACCTTTGGAAATACTGCATCATCGGGCCATTTTTTTTTTCCTGCTGTTTTTCCAATGACTTTCCTTTTGCTGGAGGATGAGACCCACTCATTAGGCAGACGGTCAATATCCCTCGCCATTGGATCCCAACCTGTCTTGGGAGCTGAGTTTCTTCTGGTTCCAAGACTCGACTCACCTGCCAGGGTTAAAACGGGCTCCTAGTGGCCCTGGGGTCTGCAGCCACCCAGCCTGTGGCCATCCAGGCCCCTCTCCCCCTAAGGCTTCCTCTGACCAGCCGCCTCCAGGGGCGCTCTTCTTCATGGGACAGTGTCTTTGAGGGATGGGGCTATCACTTACTTTTAGGTATTGATCTTACTTCCTCAATTAAATTGTAAGCTCACAAAATCCAGTGCTCCGCTCTCTGCTACCCTGCTCCCGACCTACGCAGCTTTGATTTTAACAAGGAAGTACCTATTATTAGGTGCCAAAATCTTTTGCTTTCACTGTGAGAACGCTACAGTGAAAAGACGGACAGATGGTTTCTGCCTCCATGGACTAAAATATTTATTGATAATGACACGAAACCTTGAGAATAAAATGCTCTCTAGTTAAAAACCATTCAGCCACATCTTTCTAGAGTTCAGCACGTTTCCTTGTCAGGACCATGTGGCTACAAAATCCAAGGTCATGTTGGCATGGTTGGGTTCCAGATTCTAATCTTTTTTTTTTTTTTCTTTTGGTACTAGGGATTGAACCCAGGGATACTCCATTACTGAGCCACATCTCCAGCCCTTTTAATTCTGAGACAGGGCCTTGCTAAGTTGCTGAGGCTAACCTTGAACCTGCAATCCTCCTGCCTCAGCCTTCCAAGTTGATGGAATTACCGTTGTGGGCCACTGCACCCCGTGTCTTACAGTTTTAATGGAGAGCTCAGGATCAATTTGAACAAAAACACTGGGATCTGGGCATACTGGTGAACACCTATGATCCCAGCAACTTGGGAGGCTGAGGCAGGAGGATCATAAGTTCAAGGCCAGCCTCAGCAACTTAGTGAGGCCCTAAGCAACACAGCAAGACCCTGTCTCAAAATAAAAAATGAAAAGGACTGGAGATATGGCTTAGTGGTTAAGCATCCCTGGGTTCAATCCCCAGTACTCCACCACATGTGCAAAAATTACAGCATGTTGAAGCTAAAGGGAGTTTGGAGCTCATCTTTGTACTGTCCAACTCATTTTGAAAATTCAGAGAACCAAGCCCTGGAGAGTGAAAGGACTTGATCAAAATGGTTCAGAATCAAATCTCCTGACCTTCCCAGGGATTCTGCTATCTTACAAAGCAGCATTTTTGAGCTTTAAAAATTGAAGCTGGGGCTGGGGCTCAGCAGTAGTGCTCTTGCCTGGCATGTGTGAGGCACTGGGTTCGGTTCTCAGCTCCGCATATGAATAAATAAAATAAAGGTCTATCAATAACTAGAAATAAAACCAGTTGAAACTTTTGCATTTAGCACTAAGTTCTAGTAACCAACTGATTTCTCAGGCCAAACCTGGTGCATGGCCCAAGCACAAACTGAGCTAAGAGGGAAGAGCAAATGCTAGATGGTTATTGCAAACATGGGTGAGCACTGGTTATATCTGATCTATGATAGCTGCTTAGCAGACACTGAACTTTTGACTTCTGTTTACCTTCAGGATTCAGTTCCTTTATTTATTTATTTTAAACTCTTGCCTTACGTTTGTGCTACTCTTTTGTGGCTAGATTCAAATATAACCTTCAAGCTGCGTGTGGTGGTGCACACCTGTGATCCCAGCGACTCAGTAGGCTGAGGCGGGAGGATTGCAAGTTCAAGGCCAGCCACAGTGATTTAGCTGGACCCTGTCTCTAAAACCAAAAAAAAAAAAAAAAAAAAAAAAAAAACCAAAAAAAAACCCAAGGACTGGGGATGTGGCTCAGTGATAAAAGCATCCCTGGGTTCAGTTCCCACTACCCGACCAAACCAAACTCCACAACCAAATATAAGTTTCACCTACATTCTTGGGTTCTTGGAGGATACAGTTTTCCTTTCTTATTACTGGGATCATCATAAAGATAAGAAGGCACCCTGAATCTACTCCTACTCCAAAAGTTGATGGCTTTACCATCTGAAACATCCTATGTCCTATTATGTCTAGCTTTGAGGGTAAGACCACAGCATCGCCTCATAACAGAATAACCTGGTTTTGAAAACTTACCAGGTGATAATGCCTGCATTTTGCACACAGCAGGCACCTGCAAGGTAATCAGCTTGCTCTTTCTAATTCCAGTGCCCCACACATCATTTGGTATATAATAGGTGCTCACTAAACATTTACTGAACAAAATGCAATGCCTCCTTATAAAACTGAGTCACGTATGAAAAAGTGCCCGATTATAGAATAAACTCGTAGACTCTTCTCCTTTTCTTTCTTCCATTCATTTCAGCTAAAGGCTTACTGGCTTTACAAGTTGTCTCTGCCTCTGCCAACGAAGAACTGAGGCCTAAATTTTGAGCTTAGTTACTTGGAAGCCTCTGTGAATTCTAGAATATGAAAGTTACCTGTCTGGTTTTGTGGTTTACCCCATGGGAAGGAATACTAGGTGGCTTCCTATGGATATAAGTGGCAAGGCAAGCTGAGTGGACCACTTCTTGATTTTCAGTGTCCCCAACAGGTAAAGGAAGAAACTGAACTAGATTTTGATCTCAGATCTCTTCCGGTCCTAAGAAAAGGCAGTTCTGATAGCCTCTGACCCCAGCTTACCCTCCATCCTTCCCAAGTCCTTTGAAGGCAAGGCCCAGGGGTTTATCTTTTTTCAAGCCTTCAGGCAGTAGTTGAATATCTGTTAATCTTTAATTGGCTGAAATCACTTCATCCCTAAATTTCATCATCTGTAAAAGCAGACTAGGCAAGTCTCTGGCAATTTTCTAGCAGTAAATTCTACAATTCTAAGTGCGGGTTCCCAGAAGTTAACTTTCCTGCACCCCAATGTTCTTCTGAAGGAATCAGAATAACAAAATGTACTAAGCAGTTTGGAATATTTCCTGGTAATTGGCTATCTACGTATCTCCTTGAAGAAAAGAGCTGGGGTGGTGGCACTCTCCCATAATCCCAGCACCTCTGAAGGCTGAGGCAGGAGGATTGTAAATTCTGGGTCAGCCTCGGTAACTCAGCAAGACCTTGTCTCAAAAAGAGAAAGAAAAAGAAAGAAAAGTAGGGGGAAAAAGGTGTCCCCTTAAGTCAATGGGTATTGAGGCTGGGTGTGGTGGACCATTCCTGTAATCTCAGCTGCTCAGGAGTCTGAGGCAGGAGGATTGGAAGTTCAAAGCCAGCCTCAGCAGCTTAGAGAGGCCCTAAGCAACTTAGGGAGATCCTGTCTCAAATGTTTTAAAAATAATAATAAAAAATATGGGCTGGAATAGGGCTGTGGTTAAGTGCCCTTGGGTTCAATCTCTAATACCAATAAATAAAAAGGTTGGGCGTGGGACACATACCTGTGATCCCAGGGACTTGAGAGGCTGAGGGAGGAGGATCGAAAAGTTTAAAGCCAGCCTCATCAACTTAGTTCGGCCCTAATCAATTTAGTGAGATCCTATCTCAAAATAAAAAAGGACTGAGGTTGTGATTCAGTGGTTAAGCCCTCCCTGGGTTCAATCCCAGGTACCAAAATAAGTAAGTAAGTAAATAAATAAATAAAAATTCAAGAATGAAAATATAAATAAATAAATGAGTATTCTGCTAAGGCTTGGAAATCTGATCTACGTGGGATCTTCACTGTGATTTAATTTGCTGAGAAAAGATTTGACCTAAGGGCATCATATTGGATTATAGACCTTCTGAGTGCTAGTTGAGGGTCAGTTCAGAGAAGAGTTCAAAATGCAGGCTTTTTAGATGGAAGCAGGATGGCTGCCGTGCATGTAGGCAGAGCTTGAGCAAATGCACGGGGACCCTCCAGTGTTTTTAAAGACCAGCCTGGAGAAGAGCTTTTGACCAAGCGTCTCAGGCCCTAGTTGTCCAAACCAATCTGTATCTGGATGAAGTTGGTTTGAATTCTCTCTCTGAAAAAAGCCCCAAACCCAACCTGGACGGCTGTCTCAGCAGCGTTGAATCATTGGATACAACCAATTCGCCCATTTTGCAAGACCATGATGTTGAAACCGGAGCCCCTAATTTAAGTGTCCTCCTCAGGAGTTCCACTGAGGAAAGTCCTGTTTTGGAAACCACAGAAGGAAAACTCAGGGTTACCGTACTCATTAAGATAGGAGTTTTTCCACTTGGCTGCATTGTTTATTTACATACTGTCAGTTTCTATCTTGGACAGCCTTCCCTTAATTACACGAAGAGGTGTTTCTACTGTGTTCATCTGCAGGATGCATTGGTGACCCCCAAATGCCACATAATAGTGCTTGGGCCATGGGGAGACACATCACAGATCTCAGCATAAAAATTGGCTCCCCCCACCCCACAAGACACCCGTCTCACTATGATTTGCAAAAAACAGTTAAGTTCTGGGGAGAATCTATCCCAGATAGGAACCACCCGGGCTTCCAGGTTGACCGAGCTGTAAATGCTCTCCCCCAGCTGCCTCCCGGGAGCTTATTCCCCAAACTGGCCCCACCGTGTTTGGTGACTTTTTACCAGCTACCTAACAAACTTCTTCACCTGTCTGCTGGGGGTGAAGGGAATGAAAACCACCCAGAAAGAAATAACCCATTTCCTCTGCAAAACCATCCTCTCTGGCTCCAGCACTGCTCAGCTACACCAGCGCTTTCCTGCGGTTGGCAGCCCAAGAGAACCCTGGAAGTTGCGCGGGACCCGCCGTCAGCCGCTGACAGTTCAGAACGTCCAGGTGTGGGACCCGCGCTCCAGGGGGAGATCCCTGCCCTCCCCCGGGGTAGACACGGGCGGCCGCGGGATGGTGTGTCGGGGATGGAGACCGGGAGACCCACTTTTCCTCGCGCTGCCTCAGTGGCCGCTCTGCGTGCGCGCGCGAGTCTGGGGAAGGAAGGTACCTCTGACATTTCGCTCTAGAGACGCGCACGCAACTTCATGCGGGAAATCCACAGCCGGGCTGAGCCCGCCGCCCCTGACTCCCCCGACAGCCTGGAGCCCCTCACCCGGGGTGGGGGGCACTCAAAGACCCGGCCAGGTATCTCCCCGGACCCCAACTATAGCAGGGTCATGGACAGTCAACTCTCAGCTGCCCACACTGGCAAGAGCGCGTAATCCTGGTGGCCCTGAACATTCCTAACTGTCAGAATATTTTTCGGAAAAAAAATCTCTCCAAAATGCTAAAATGTTAAGTCGTTTCCTCCGCCTCCCCGCCCCAACACATATATTTTTAAAAAACAATCCATGCCCCACAATCAAACTTTTAAACATGTAAAATAATAAAACCAACTCACCAAGTTAGAAGGGAAGAGAATAAACCCCAAAAGGCTCCCAATAAGGCGGAGGCTTGGCCTCCCCCTCCTTATAAGCCGCTCGGTAACATGAGAAAAGGATTAACCCCTTAGGGCGTGGACCCGAGTCTATCCCAAGTTGGCTCTGGCCGGCCGGTGAGCCGGAGCACCCTGGCCCCCCACCCACTCCCTCGCCGCCGCCACCCGGGCCACACCCTCCCCCCGCCCCCCACCCGGCCGCCTCCGCCCGGGCCGTGCGTGCCGCCGCCCGCGCCCCGGCCCCGCGTCGCTGCCTATCTCTTATCCTATACCGGCTGCAGCCGGTCTCCGCCGGCCTCGGGGGCGCGCCGCCGCCGACCATGTGCTGCGAGCGCGGAGCGCCGCCAAGGAGGGGGCCGGCCTGGCGCGCGCGCGCCGGCCCACGTGGACCGGGGCCGCGCCGGGCGCGCGCCCCGCCCGTCTGCCGCCCCGGCTGGGGGTCACGGAAGGTAACAGCGTCGCCGTCCCGAGCTGGCCGCCCCCGCCAACGCCGCTGGGGTCCTTGGCATGACGCCCTCATCCCCCAGCCTGGGTGCGCCTCGCCCGACCGAACCCCGGCACTTTGCTGCAATGCAAGTGGGAGCGCGGGCGTGCAGGAGTGTTGGGGTGCGCCTGCACCCTCTCTCAGCGTGCCCGCCACTCGGCCCCGCCCGCGCCCTGAGCATTTGGGGTGTTAGCGGGGAGGGGGAGAAGCGCGCTCCGGGGTTGGTCCCGCGCAGCGCTCGCGGCTGCGGCAGCTACGCGCCCGCTCCGGGCAGAACAGGTTCCTTCCAGTTTGGGTGTGAGCTGCGCGCGCTGCGCTCGAGTTCCTGCTCCAGCGCCCACTTCCCCTAATTTCGTCAACTCGCGCACCCCCACAGTTCCCCTTCCGGGGGTGGGGAGGGAGTGCCGCAGTGGGCCCCAGGGAGCCCGCGGCCGGGCTGCTCCGGGTGCATTGCTTTCTCCGTCTTTGGTGCAGCGGCAGCAGCCACAGCATCCGCGTTGCGCGAAAGGGATGTGAGCAGCCCGGCTGAGTCAGCATCTTCAGCCCCGGGCGCGCGCGCACCCTCTGCCAGGCGGGAGGCGACGTCCGCACAGGTGCACGGCTGCCTGACCCGCGGGAACCCCCAGCAGGGACCCGAAGGTTTAGAGAGTGTGTGCCCCTAGTTTCGAAATCCCGGTTCCCAAGGTCACTGTGAACTAAGCCGATGGTGCAGGAGAACCCTCAGTTACGAGTTCTTCGTAAGGGACAAAGCGTGTGTCCGAAGATCTTGGGCATTTCAGAGCCCGAGGGGGCGCAAACTTGGCTTCTTGGTCCCCACCTCACAAACCCAGGGCAAATTTGGGAACGGCTGCGGAGCAAAGACCGTGAACTCCGCGTTCCTCTGCGGACTTTGGCAACCGCTGCTCGGTCCTGCGGGGTTCAGAAAATATAGTTCTGATGTCCAACTCAGGAGAGCTTAGTTTTGAAGTGTGCACGGAGGGTCGCCACGGGGAGGAGCCGGCGATCTGAATTTTAGTATAAATCCTTGCTCGCTGATTGCCCTGACGATTTTGGGAGCCAGTCTACTGGATTAGATGTCACCCATTTCTATTAACAAGATCTGGTGTGGGTTAAGTGGGAAGCAGATGCGTTGGAGCCATCAGTATTCAGCCAGCATGGCTGCTGAGTAGGAGTGGTTTAACTTTGCGGATCATTAATTTCCAAATCTGTGAAATGGGAGTAAATGTGTGTTCCCAGAGCTGAACGATTTAATTTATGATGCCTGTAAAGTGTGGATCACCATTAAGTCCTTGGCAATTACCATTAATTCTTCTTCTTGTTTAGGGTTTATCAAAGCCAATTGCTGACTCCAAAAGACACCCTGTGAGAAATCTGTTATGAGTTGTTCTTTAAAGAATCCACATGTATTAGCAAATGGATTTTAATCACAAAAAAGAAAACAGGTTTGAAGCTGGCGGACCTGTAAGCATAGTCTTTTATATTTAGAGTCTTACACTTTAGTATTGAGGACCTGCCCCTGTACCCCAAAAAGAGATGTCATGCTTGCATTTTAAAAACTTTTAATATGTTTGTTTTGTTTGAGATAGTGTCTCTCTGGTTGCTCAGACTGGTCTGGAACTTCTGGGCTCAAGTCGTGGTTCAGCCTCAACCTTCACAGAAGCTGTAGTCACAGCTATGTCCCATCTGACTGGAAATGTCATGTTTAATATGACACAGCAAAGCCAAGTGTGGTGGTACACACCTGTAATCCTAGCAGCTCAGGAGGCTGAAGCAGGAGAATTACAAGTTTGAGGTCTTTCTGGGCAACTTAGCAAGACCCTGTTTTCAAATGAAAAATAAAGAGCTGGGAGTGTAGCTCATGGTTAAGCACCCCTGGGTTCAGTCCCCAGTACTAGGAAAAAAAAAAAAATTCGGGCACATCATGTACTGTATTGTCTAATGAAACTCAGGGCTGTAGCCCATCATTTATACTGAGCAACTCTACCCAAGTCGAATAAAATCTCAGTGCTTTAGGTTCTAGACTTTTAAAATTAGACAGTGCCCTCTCTACCGTGGGTCACTGTCACTTTGGGGCTCAGCAGCCTGAAGCAAAAAAGAGAAAAAGTGGAAGAAAAAATTTTAAAAAATAGATAAAGCCTAAATTCCTATGGCTCAAATGATTAGAAAAATCCCATGTGAATACTTTGGCCAAATACAATCTGGTTATTTTGGGGGGAGGGCTAATAATGTTGTTATTAACATAGCAATTTAATTATTATTACTAATGTATTACTCTCTTATATTAATTATAATTAATTTTTTTATGTTTGCTTTGTCCCAGATTCTGAGTTAAGTGCCAGCCGTGTGATTTATTTTAACCCCATCATCAATCTTCTGCACTTGAGACTTATTATCCCCATTTTGCAGATGAAAAAGATGAGGCACAGAGAGAGCATTGGAGGGATACGTTCAAGGTTACACCACATTCACAGATGTGCGCTGGCTCTTTTTGCAACTAGGGTTCATCCAAAGTTGACATTGATGTTGGCCATGTCCACTTGGACAGTGGAGAGGTGGCTGGACTCAGCCCAGCCTTGCAAGCTAGCCACAGACTCATGACTTGCCCACCCTAGTTAGGGACTGGCTTCGCCTCGTTCCCTTAGGCCTAGTGAGCTGAAAACCTCTGCCTTCTATTTTACTTGTCCAGGAAAAGTACTGCATTACCATGCTAATCAAACCCCCCCAAACAAAACTAACTCTGTGTAGTTCTAAATAAGAACAAAAGAACCTTTGGAGTCTGGAGTACAGAATCAAAAAAAAAAAAAAAAATTCAGGAAATTAAGGGTTCAGCTCTCCTCTCGGCCTCTTCTGTAGGTCTGTCAGAGTCCAAGAGGCAGACAGAGCCCCTCTGGCCAGCCCTTCCTTGACCGTGGGCAAGACTGCCATCATGCCCTTAAAAAGTCCCTCAACATCTTCTTGGGAAACACTGGCTCCTCAGAGTTGTCCCAGGACTCTCTCTTTTCTAGCCCTCTTGCTCAGGGTCATTTGCATGAGAACAGATTCCTTTGTGCACAGTTGGCCTGCCTGTTGTCTGTCCACGTTGAGAGTCCCTCAAGTCTTGGGGGTGGGTTGCTAGGCAGATATGACCCTGGCTTGCAAATAAGCTCACTGTATTTACCAGCCTGTGAGAACTTCAACTTGGGTAAGTAGATTGAAAAGAATCTTGTCTGGAACTGGGGTGGGGTAGGGGCGTCCAAAAGCCTGCTTTTGGCTGCTGGGTCTTCACAGCAGCCACAGAAGAGGGGGGACATGTGAGGGGACTTTGAGGGAAAGCCTCAATTGCTCACCTTTCTGGTTACCTTTTTCCTGTCTCTATTCCACCCACCTGTCTTCCCACCTAAGAGGCTGAGGTGAGCAGCTTGTATTCCAAATCTTGCTTTTGAACTTTAATATCTGCCTGTCCAGTTGGCAGAGAACTCCAAAAACTTGGGAACCTTTTTGGTGAACTGATGGTCTGAGTAGATAGTCTGAGTTTATTGTATGGGTCCCCCTCCCACATTGATAATTTGTTTGTTTGTTTGTTTTCATTTGTTTGGGACCAGGATTGAATTTAATCCCCAGCTCTTTTTATTTTTTGAGACAGGGTCTCACTAAGTTGCTTAGGGCCTCCCTAAGTTGCTGAGGCTGGCCTTGAACTTGTGATCCTCCTGCCTCAGCCTCCTAAGCTGTTGCTGGGATTACAGGTGTGTGCCACCAAGCCCAGTCCCTTTGATAGGAATGTGAGGGTTTGCCAAGGGGTTACAGGGCAGCTAGTGGTGCCGCTGCTGATGCCCACGGTGTTTGCTGGGCTCACTGAGTGAACCTGTGTAAGGGCCCTGGTGTTATGCAGGTCTCCCTGGGTGGCTCTGTAGGAGGCCTGGTTCCTGGGGAATTGAGGAGAATGGAGACCAGAGGAGTCCAGAGCAGGCAGGGAGAAACTTGGGGGAGGACAGGCATGGCGGAGGTGAGCCAAGAGGGTGCAGAGCATGAGAGGAAGGCAGGAGGGGGCCAAGGGCATGTGTATTGGGGACAACAGGGTCACCTACAGTGGTGGGGGCCTGCAGCTCTCAACCTTCCCTCACACCCGGTTACCACCCACAGCAGTGTCCGTGGTCCATCCCCGGGTGTGTCCCAGACTCTGTAGTAACTTCTGATTTCAACACTGAATGTTGCTCCTGGACTTCTCAGTCTTCCTAGTTCACTGCTCCTTTGATTTTGTCATACTCTGAATGCTTAAACGGAAAGATAATAATACAAAAGAAAGAGCACAGAGTCTTGAGGAGGGTTCCAAAAAGTATCTGGAGCTGTGCCAGTGTCCTAAAAAACTCGGGTTCTGCTGGGCACGGTGACGTGCACCTGTAATCCCAGCAACTCGGGAGGCCGAGGCAGGAGGATTGCCAAGTTCAAGGCCATCCCCAGCAACTTAGCAAGACCCTCTTTCAGAATTAAAAAAGAAGAATTGAGGCTGTAGCTCAGTAGAAGACAGAAGTCCTGGGTTCATTCCCAAATACAAACAAACAAAAAACCCAGCCCATACACAAAACCCAGGTTCTCAGAACAAAGTCCTGTATTTAGGAGTAAATCCATGTCCTGTTAAACTTGAAGCTACAGTTGTGGCAGTGAAATTTAGTAGGAAAGTGCCATGTGTGTGGAATCACGGGCTTTTTTGTTTGAGACGGCATCTCCCGGTGTTGCCCAGGATGGTCTCGGGTTCCCGAGTTCCAGCAGTCCCCAGAGGCTGGGACTGCAGGTGTGTGTGTGTCACGTTGTGTGGATGAACCCACTGGCTTTTGCCCCAGAGAAATCAAGCTTTCTTTGGGAGGTCATTGAGATGGCTTCACTTACCGTATCCCTCAAGTTCCAGGGAATAAGAGACACACCCTCTGTCTGTTCTTGCCTAAGGGGGGGTTTGTGTGTGTCAACTTCCTCTATCTTGTCTAAACACTGCTTGGTTCCTTGGAACAGTAAGTGTTGCGCTTCCATCCTAAGCTTTTAGGACCAGTGTGTCCATTTATTTCCAGGTGACTAAGGGATGATGACAAAAACCTGGCAGAGCACTTGGAGGATTGTGCTGTGAACAGGAGGGGCGGGGCAGCTGCCCTGCGGTGGTGGGTGGAGGGCTCCAGTCTCCTCAGTGAGCTTGGCTTGGCAGGCGTTTTCCTTCCTTCCTTCCCATGCCCCCCTTTTTGGTCCATTCGGGCAGCCTTGGTTCATCCGCAGCCACTTGTGAGCCCTGGTGAATACATTTGTCTCCCAGGCCACAAAACGAAGGTCCCTTCTCTTCAAGTGTTTATTGTCTAATTCAGATGGCAGGACTCGTGCATGATTGTTGCCTAAGGTAGCCTTTCAACAAGTGAGTGCAGTTTTGTGTGTGCAAATTACAGTGAGGAGGGATTCACGAAGTTCATCACAGGTTAAAGGAAGGATGAGACGAAGCTGGATTTTTTCAGGGTGGGGTGGATCAGGCTGGGCCTTCATTGTTCTTGTCAAATGCACTCATTCAGCAAATATTGATTTAGCACCCTCTGGCAAGGTACTGGAGCAGGCAGTGCATAAAACACCCATCATCCCTGCCCTAACTGAGTTTACACACTCCGAGTTGAGGATCTTGTCTGAACACCCAGCCAAGTGTCGCGGCTAAGTAGTGCTTTTTGGATGTTTCTCACACTGAAATGTAATTCCCACTTAACGAGCATCAGCCAAAGGGAGATTCCCATCCCACCCACCCTGCATCTTGACCTCATCCTTACATTGTCCAAAACTAGACTTGCTGGAAGGCGGGGTACGCCAGCGATGCCAGTTGTCAGCAGACTCCACCCAGCACCGGGACCTAGCTCAGGGTGAGCCAACATGGTACAGTCAGCCGCCGGATTGGGTAATAAGGAACCCTAGTTTGGAACTTTGAAAATGCAAACCGGAATGACTCTTCACTTTCCCTTTGGGGTGGCTGGTGGCTGTCATGTGTAGCTTCCACCTTCTCTGGGCTCAGAATGCCGCAGAAGATGTGTGACAAACTGCTCTGGCCAAGACTTGTCCCTAGCAGCATGGAGCTGGGATGTCACCATCGACACTCAGACTAGTTTTGTTTAATATTACTTTTTAGTAATGCTTGGGGCTTGCATAGTACTTTTTAAAAGTGTTTTCATATTTGTTGATCTCTCTAATCCTTAAAGCAGTGGGAAGAGAGAGAGAGAGAGAGAGAGAGAGAGAGAGAGAGAGAGAGAGAGAATGAGAATGAATATAATAGTAGCTAACATTTCTGAGCCCTTTCTGAGAATTTGTTGGATCATCTCATTCTGACATGGTATTCTGGTGGAGGAAGTTTCCTGTGGTTGTTTTTCATAGGGAGGAAATGGAGACACACACTCTATAACCTAACCAACGTCACACAGCCAGAAAATGACTGCTGAACCCACATTCTCCTGGCAACGGACCCACACATCCCCCAAATCAAGTCCCCAAAAGGAAAATTTGCCAAGTAACTTTCACTGAATTGGACATTTGCGCCCCAAGTTGGGGTCCTGACTGTACTTCTGGCCTTACGTCCGCCTTCGATGTTCTTAGATAAGACCGACTGGAACAGGTCTCCGTGTGCCCAGGATGCCATAATGCAAGCCCACAGATTGGGCAGCTAAGCAACAGTCATTTATTTCTCCCAGTTCTGGAGGCTGGAAGTCTGAGATCAAGGTGCCAACTGACTTGGCAGGAGGAGGGCTGCCTTCTGGCTCATCAGATGGCCACCTGGCCGTGTCCCTACCTTGTAGAACAAGTTCTCCTGTATGTGTCCATAAATGCATTCATGAGAGCCCTACTCACATCTTGTCTCACCCTGTGACCTCCCAGAAACCCATCTCCTGATACCATTGATTAGGGAATTAGGGCTTCAGCATACACGTGTGGGGGTACATACACCTTCAGTCTACAGCAGGATCTGACCCATTTCATCGAAGAGGTGGATAGGATTGGATCTGGAGCAAGGCTAAATTCACAAACAGACTGAGAAGCACTTAAGAAGGAGTTACCCTGGTTCAGTGGCACTCCTGTGATCCTTCCCAGTGACTCTGGAGGCTGAGGCAGGAACATTGCAAGTTCATGGTCAGCCTGAGAACTTAGTGAGTCCCTGTCTCAAAGTAAAAAATAAAAAGGGCTGGGATGAAGCTCAGAGGTAGAGCACCCCTGGATTCAATCCTCAGTATCAGTAAAATAAGTTGTGGATAAAATTACTTGATATCCAGGGTTCTCTTTAAAATAATACAGTATACGTGGAGGGTGAGGCCAAGGGACGTGGGAGGGGAGATGTTTCCATCAGAATGGCCACGTGTTGATAGTTGTTGAATTTAAAGGTTGGGTAGGAATGTGTGAGTTTCTCAACTTTGGTATGTTTGACAGCAGCCATAATGCAATTTTGGACAAATAATAAGCAAATGTAGCTCTGTAAAAAATTCCTTAAAAATTGGCCAACACGCTCCTGGGAATGGATTTCAGGTAGTCTGAGCCATTTCTCCCTTGGCCACACCCTTTAGGTTTTTCTTAAGTGGAGAGAGTTTTAGAAATGCGGGGGTGTCCGGAGGCTGTCGACCTTCTCTGTGGTTCTGGTTGGTCTCCAGGACCAGGTATGATTTCTGTAGGAGCACTGGGTTTTGGGACGAGTGGCACCAGGCCACCTTGGCTCTCCCAGATTGGCTTCTGCCACGTGGCTTCCTTCTGGGTCAGTCTCAATAGGTGGTCCCTTCGTCAAACTCAGCTGGATATGCTGTGCCCTGCTGTGGATGGGTTTCCTGGCACTGTTAGGTCCCCAGAAGAGAGATTCCCAACAGCTGGGTCTGACCTGAGGGCTGCAAGCTGAAAGAAAGAAAGAAGCCTTTTAATGGTCACCCTGCAGCCTGCGTGGGGGCATGCTATCGAAGATGTTCTCTGCAACCAGGCATGGTGACACATGACGGGAGGAGGATTCACAAGTTCAAGGCTCGCCTGGGCAATTTAGCAAGACTCTGTCTTAAATAAATAAATAAATAAATAAATAATAAAGGGCTGGGGATGTCGCTCAGTGGCAGAGTGCTCCTGGGTTCAACCCCCCAGTACTGGGGGAAGAGTGTTCTTTGTCTCCTTGAGCCAGCCCTATATGTTCGGATCCATAAGGAAGGGGCCGTAAGGATGTTGGTTTCACGGAGATGTTAAATGACGCTTTGTCCTTGCTCTGGTGGTAACTGGGCCTCCCATGCCACCCAGGCCTGGGCCAGGCTGAAGCAGAGCTGAGGGAGCACCCATCCCTGGCTGGATTGGCGAGGGCCCTGGAGGGAGGGAGATCTCTAGGCGTTGCCGATTGCTTCACCCTGGTGCTGTGGGACTCTCCTGCACCGATGCCAGGGACTGCGGACTTCTTAGCTTCCTCCTTACCTGCGGCCCTGCCATTCCTGTGTGCCTTCTCAGTAGAGCAGCCTGAGTGAGGGCTTCTGTTTCAATGCAAGTCACATCTGGCCACTGTTGTGTCCTTGTGCCGACCCTCCTGTGGCTTCGTATCTCAGCAGAGGCCTCCTGCTTGCTCTCTGGCTCCAGTGTGCACTCTTTGGCCCTCCACGGCCTTGACATTAGCTGATGCTGCTGCTTTCCAAGCAAGCACATCCTCAACCACTGAGCCACATCCCCAACCCTCTACATTGGCTTCTTAGCTGCTTCTCACCTGCACTAGACCTTGGCCTTCGCTGGCTTCTCTGCCTGCTGTACCTTCTCCTTGTGGCCTGTTTCCTTACCTCCAGCACATCCTTAGACAAAACGCACTTCTTGCCCAGCGTTATGGGCCACCCTCTGTAACTTGGCGTCTGTCCATCCCTGCACTCCTGAATCCCCTCCTGTTTGACTTTCTCTGCGTGACTCACATTTTGCTTATTGCATTCCCTCCTCCTCCCTACGATAAAAGTAAGTGGTGTGAGGGCAGGGGTTTCTGTCCCATTCGTGGATGAAGACCTGCCACCCACCTGTGTCAGTCACATTGGGCCGACCAGTGACGGGACGTATGGGGGGAATGATTTCAGGCCACCTGGGCAGCTAGTGCCCGAAGCCCTTCCTGGCAGCCCCAGTGTGACTCCTGCCCGGCTCCCCCCAGCACACAGACCATGTGATTTGGCAGGTAAAACAACAGAATTCGGCAACCAGAGACTCCCGCTCCCCCGCTGCCTTGTCTGTTTTGGCCTCAGCTCATCCAAAGCTTTTGTTTCAGGAAAACCAACAGAGCCCTCCGCCAGCTAGGTCTGCTGGCTCCGTGTTGTTGCAGCTGTTTTCAAGGTTCTGCAGGAGGCTGCTTGGCCGCAGGGAGGCCTGTGGGGAGCCAGGGTCAGGTGATGGAGCGGACGGCTCAGGAAGCCAAGGACTTCCAGCTCTGGGTGACTGCTCAGCACATCTTCAGGTGGCCATATCCGGTTCCTTCTTGCCGACAACCTGCCCGTGGGTCATTTCTGTGCTCATTAGTGCCTTTACCCATTAGCAAGCTCAGGAACTGAAGGAAGGGTTACACCTTCCCATGCTTAGTGGCCCTGCGTTAAAATAGAGCTCAGGGACTGAGGATGTAGCTCAGTGATAGAGCATCTGTAGCATGTGTGATGCCCTGGGTTCCATGCCCAGTGTTGCAAAAAATAAAATAAGATGGAGGTTGAAAGGGAGAACGGGAATCATTGGTAAAGCTGATTGGCAACTCGAGTCTGTTGTACTTCTGCCTGGGGAGCTTGGAGATGTGGGGGGTTGTTGATACTTGGATTCAGCAAGGATTGGTCACAATCCTTTATGCTATGGTGGGACAGATGGGCTTTGGATGTGGGATGTGTTGAGTAAGGTGGTCAAGCACCTTCCACCCCAGTGGAAGAAAGGGTGAACATTTAATTTGCCAAAGACAAACACCTCTAATCCTAGCAACTAGGGAGGCTGAGTCAGGAGGATTACAAGTTCGAGGCCAGCCTCAGCAGTTTAGCGGGATCCTCTCACTCTTGTTTCAAAATAAAAGGGCTGGGGATGAAGGTCAGTGGTAAAGCACCCCTGAGTTCCATCCCCTGTACCTCCCTCCAGAAAAACAAAGACCCTCCCCTCCCCACAAGTTCTTCCTTCGCTGGGAGGAGAGCAGACCACTCTTCCCTGTCCATCCTGAGAGTGATAAGGAGAGTTGGGAGAGTAACCTCAGATAAAGTCCAAGGCAACAAATGGGGCCGATTTCTTGAGCTCAGCTAAGCTCAAAGTCTCAGCTTGAATCTTGACCAAAGTCCATGGCTTGGCATTCATTGAATAGCTAGCTGGTGTGCCTTTTCCCTTGATTTAAATAAGTGAATAAATAAATAAACTGGGAAGGGATTAAATGTCTCCCCCGTAGTATGGTAGACTGGCTAAATCAGCTTATTTCCCTTCTATGAAAATTTTAAGTACTATGTTAACAATTCTCTTTGAAAATCCTCAAAGGAATGTTTTATCACGAAATGCTAAAGAAAAACAATCTATTTATGTTCCCACCTTAATTTTAACCTCTTTCTTAAGTGAATTTTTTTTTTTCCTCCTGAATTCTTGTACGTTGGGTCACTCTGAAATGGATTATTGACTAGGAATGAGGCCACGCTAAAAAAACTAAGCAGCTTTAAGAAGAAAAGCCGCCTAGGACTATTGCTTGTGGTCAGAAGCCAGTAGAATGAGTCTGGGAATTACCCAGCAGGTGAACAAGTATTTGTTGAACACCCTCCTTGTTCAAGAGCCTTCTGGAAGGGAGAAGTATTTGGGGGCTAAAGGTCAACAAATACTGGTTGAATCTAATGGCACTTGAAATAAGTTGCCTTTTGGAGAGTGGAAGAATTTAATTTCTGAACAGTTGATTCACTCGTCTCCGGATGACATGACTGTTTATTTGGGCTTCCTTTTATTTTGATTAAGGTCAGTAGTGCTGGGTAGAGAGTGGTACCTGCGTGTAATTAATCCCAGTGGCTCTTGGGGGGCTGAGGCAGGAGGGTTGCAAGATTGAGGACAGCCTCAAGTGACTTCGGGAGATCCTTAGCAGTTTGGTGAGACCCTGCCCCAAAATAAAAAAATAGAAAGGATTGGGAATGTGGCTCAGGGTTAAGTGCTCTTGGTTCAATTCCCAGGGTATGTATTGTCTGTGTGTATGTGTGCACATATACGTGTGTGTGTGTGTGTGTGTGTGTGTAGATGGTACTATGTTCCCATTCTTTTTGATTTTATCTAGGTCTTCCAGCCATCTTCATCCATTGGGGCTGACCATTGGGTTCCCTGATAGAGATACACAATTGGAAATAGCATGTGGCATAAGCCCAGCCCTAGTGGCATCTTTATTTCTTATAAATAGATTCTTAGTTCCTTCCCTGGGTTGGGTGTTCAGCTGAGGTTTTTATTGGATCCACCACCTCAGCTCCGTGTCTCCTTACTAACCTTGTAAACTGAGTGCTTGTGAGCTAAGGGCAATGTTGTTTGCTTCTTGGCTCTATTTGTAGCCTTGAGCGTTTGAGAGTCTAGTCTTCGATTCCTGACTTTCAAAACCCAGTCTGCTATGTTGTGTTTGTGTTTGGTCACTGAGGCTGAGTCATCCGCAGTGAGGCTAAGCCATTTCCTTTTCTTCCAGGATGACAGTCATGATGTTTTGGAGTGCACCTTGCTACCGCAAGAGTGTCCAAGAACTAGCAGCATAGGCCCCACTTGGAGGCTAATTAGAAATGCAGAGCCCAGGCCCCAGCCTTACCCACTGGTGCTATGGGGTCTCGCTAAGTTGTCCAGGAACTTGTGATCCTTCTGCCTTGGCCTCCCACGGTGTGTAGGTTTGAATCTATGTTTCATTAAGCATAAAATTCAAAGCTAATTCCTGTGTACATCCATGTGGGGACTCACACATGCTGGGCAAAATATTCTCCCACTGAGCTAGAACCCCAGCCCTAAATTTTCTTCATAAACTTGTCATGACTACAATGTAAAGGGCTATATTTCCACTAAAATTTTGTTTGTTTGTTTGTTTTCTGATGCTAGGGATTGAACCCAGGGCCTTGTGCATGCAAGGCAAGCACTCTACCAACTGAGCTATGTCCCCAGCCCTCCACTAAAAATTTTTTGAAAAAAATTTCTAACATTTAATCATGAAAATTACAAACATGTAGCAAAATGGAAAGCATTTCTACAATGACTAGCCATATACCCTCCATCTGTCTTCTATTACTGTGTTTTACATTCCGCCCCCACCCCAAATTAATTTCTATCAAGATTTCTTATGGAAATGTTAGGTAAGAGCATGGCTGTTACAAAGAATCCTGTCATAAGGGTCATAAGGGTCTCGTTCTTCTAGAATTCACAATGAGTTTAAGGTCACATTTAATTTGGGAATTTCTTATGAATCAAGAGAAATTTGGGAGTGGGAGTTGGGGAGGCCTGGTATTTGGTAGAGTTGGGGGCTGGTCCTTTTCCCACCCAGAATACTGGGCCTCAGTCTTCCCATGTATACCGTGAGGGGGTTGAAAGAGGTCATCTCTGATGTTACTGCCAACCCCGTAACTATAAGTCTAGTGCAAATATCATCATCGTCATTATTTTTCAGGTGGAAGAAATTGATGAACCAGTTAAATATTCAAATAAGAGGGAAAACATCTGTTGGCGTGGAAAAATGATTATTTCCTGAGCTACTGAGTAAAACACAGCTGTACTGGCGGTTTTAATTCTGTTTTCTTGTCAGTTTTTGTTCTTTCAGGAAACCTTAGAGAAACCTCAACCATCTGGAACTCAGAAACTCACTGGGGGCTGACTGCAGCTTCTAGAACATCCAGGTGTTCTGCAGATGAGAGAATTTGTCCTGCAGTCACCAGATGGAGTCCCAGACAGATGCCAAGCTTGGGCTGCGGCTCTAACATCCCTGAATACAGAGGGGTCACTTGCAGAGTTGCCAGAAGGGCCCTCAATGACACCGACACGTCTAGTCATCTTTATGAAGCTGCCGTGGGAAACATCTCCCCTCGTGAGTCAAGCCAAGTCCGGGGCTGCCAGTGTCCTGACTCCTGTGAATTAGGATTCCAGATGGGGGCCTCGTTTCTGTACTCCCCGGCATCCCCCCAGCCATCACATCCACCACCACTGCCACCAGTAGGTTCTGGAAAACTCTACTCCTAAGGGACCTGCTGCATTAAAAGTGAGCAGAGAGGAAGCGCTCGGAAAAGTCTCCGCTGGTGGCCTGCCATCGTTCCAGACACCAGGAGTCTCCCCCTTGTCACCATGGGCTGGCTTTTTCTAAAGGTTTTGTTGGTAGGAGTGAGTTGCTCTGGATTTCTTTATCCCTTCGTGGACTTTTGCCTCAGGGGGAAAACGATGGGCCAGAAACCAAATATCGTGATCATTTTGGCCGATGACATGGGGTGGGGTGACCTAGGAGCAAACTGGGCAGAAATGAAGGACACTGCCAACCTTGATAAGATGGCTTCAGAAGGAATGAGGTGAGTGTGGAGGATGCCACGCCAGCATCTCTTTGGATGACTCACCCCAGTTCCTGTAGGGGAAGGGGCAATGTCAAGCCCTTAAAACAGCAACGGATGGGTCCACGTTGCTTTTATTAATGCGTTAATTTATCTGGGTGAAGCCAGTACAGCGTCATGAAGAAACCCATCTACCCATTACCCACCCACCCATCTACCCATTCACCCATTCATCCATCCACCCACCCATCTATCTATCTATTCACCCATCCACCCATCCTTCCACCCACCCTTCCACCCATCCACCCTTCTGTCCACCTATCCACCCACCTACCCTCCAACAATCCATCCACTCACCCATTTACCCATCTGTTCATCCACCTACCCATTCATCTATCCATCCATCCATCCATCCACCCATCCATCTATCCATCCATCCATTTATCCGATGACATTGTATATGTACACATTAGGAGCTATAGAGGTGAGCAAAATAAAAATTCTTGCCCCCGTTTACTCACCATCTGGCAGATGACGCAGGTTAAAAGGAAGGTAAGAATTACAACTGACACTGGGCATGGCGGTGCATGCCTGTAATCCTAGTGGCTCCGGAGGCTGAGGCAAGAAGATCTCTAGTTTAAAGCTAGCTTCAGCAACTTAGCAAGGCCCTAAGCAATTTAGTGAGACCCGGTGTCAAAATAAAATATAAAAAGGGATGGGGATGTGGCTTAGTGGTTAAATGCCCCTGAGTTCAATCCCTGGTACCAAAAAAAAAAAAAAAAAAAAAAAATTTCAATTGAGTCTTACATGAATCTGCATCTGGAGTTTTTTGGATCCCAGAGGGCAGGATGTAGAACCCAGCCTGGGGACACAAGGGAGAAGATGACCTTTGAAGAGCAACTGAGAGCCAGTGGGGCACACGTCTGTGTAAGTAGATGGGACTAACATTCAAGGCTAACATTTAAGTCATGCTGAATTAATTCTGAGGGACCACAAGAGGGGAGACTGTGAGCAGTGGGCCGGAGTGTTCATAATGGCCATTGCAGATTTTTGCTCAGACCCCTGGCTTCCTTCCCCACCTAGATGGAGAACGAGTGTCAGAGCTTTCTGACGTCTGTATTTTTGCCCTGGACAGATGTGGATCTGATTGGCAGGCTTGTTTCCTGTCTGCACTGGGCTAAACTCCCACCCTGGCTCAGCCATCCGCTTGGCCGCTCAGGAGAACATGGGACATCTCCACAGGGCTTCAGCCACTTGTGTCCCTGAACTCAGAGCTTTCCCCCAGAAGTAGGGACAATGGCATTTCCTCTCTCCTCCTACAACCTCCTCCTCGCCTCAGCCCAGGAGAACTTTCTAGAATCCCTCCTCTATTTCCAATCCTTCACGGACATTTTGTGTCTCTTAAGGATAAAGTCCATCCGTCCATTTATCAGATGACGCTGCCTATGTGCGTATCAGACACTCTGTACAGTGTCTCACCAGCTGGTTTTCATCTCCACCCTCCGTCTTCCCCATCGTGGGCTCTTCTTGCCTCCCCTGGACGGGCCCCACTCCCCCCTCTGTGGTGGGTTCTTCTGGGGCACTGTCCACATCCTCTGCTGCTTAGGTCTCAGTTCCCTCAGGAGAGGTGTCCTCGATGCCTAAGGTACACTACTTAATGTGGTGACTGTTTATGCATCTGACCGCCTGTGTTGGGTTGAAGAGCGTCCACTCCCACCACCCATGTCCACCCAGAACCCCTGAATGTGACCTCATTTGGAAACAGGGTCATCTTTGTGAATATAATTAGTGAAAGACCTTAACGATATCATAATGAATCTAGCGGGTGGGACCAAAATCCTAGGGCCCTGAAAGAAGAGGAGAGGACACTGGAGAAGAAGATCATGTGACGGAGCTGGCAGGGACGTGTGGGTCTATGCCGGCGGCTGCCTGCAACACGGGAAGCCAGGGGAGCTCAGCGTTGAGTCTCCCTCCGTCCCGCAGAGGGACCAGCCCTGCCGATGTCTTGATTTCAGACCCCTGGCCTCCCACTGCGGTGCGAAGCCTCCCAGTTGTCATAGGTTATGGCAGCTGCAGAAAACGCATGTACTTCCCTTCCAGTTCTGGGCTTCAGGAGGAAAAGTAGTGTGTCATCCCGCCTCGTCCCCCGTCCCCCACCCCCTTAGGTCCCTAGCAAGAGCACAGGGCCTCCCACGGATGAAGCAGTTAACAAACAGCTGATCATCAATAAATGAGCTGAAACGTCACCTCATTTTGCAGGTAGGAACTTCTCTTCTGGGGAGACGGTTAGCCCAGATGATCACGTTTACCAGCCTCAGGGACCTGGGTTGCCGAATGTGTAAGAACTTCTGAAACTTTCCGTTTCCAGCAGGTTCGTGGAGAGAGAACCAGGCCCGTTATTTCAGTTGCGATCTGGGAGGGTAGACATTGTCCTCCTGAGCTGTCCCCACCAGCACACTCGTCCTGAGCAGAAAGGGTGTCTCAGAGTCAGGCCCAGTTCGGTGGGCTTTCCTATTTACCTTCCTTTATGAGTGCATTCTGTCCGTCGGGCCCGTGACAGCGGCCAGGTGTGCTGCCTTTGGGCCTCTGAGGTCAATGTGTTTTCATTCTGTGCATATTGCTAACAGGAAAGCTGAACTTCCTGTGAGGCCGCGGAGTGATGTGTCGCTGGCTTCTTCCCCTGCCTGCTCCTGGCCAGTGGGGAACCATGAACTCTTTCTTGTGCCAAACAGGGTTGAGGTGTGACTTGAGAAAGTGTCTTTCCTGTTGTTCCTTTTCATTAGAGTGTTGTATTCCTAGGACTGCAGGTACTAACTACTACAGTTGGCTGGCTTAAAACAGCATTAACCCAGCCAAGCCTGTCATTCCCAGCAACTCGGGAGGCTGAGTCAGGAGGATCTGAATGAAGTTCAAGGTCAGCCTCAGCCACTTAGGCCCCAAACCACTTAGGGAGACCCTGTCTCAAAATTAAAAAAGAAGAGGGCTGGGGATGTAGCTCAGTGGTAAAGCACCTTGGGTCAATCCTCAGTACCAAAAAAAGAAAAAACGCTAATCCGGCCTTTCAGAATGCAGGAGGTCAAAATCAAGATGTCCGCAGGGGGTGGTTCCTTCTAGAATCTCTAAGGAAGAATCTGTATGTGCCTCTGTCCTTGCCTCTCTCCTAGCTTCTGCTGCAGGCTAGAAGTCTTGTCTTGCAGACTCCAATCTCTGCTTGGTCGTCACATGATGTTCTGGTGTGACAGTGTCCACATCTCCCTCTTCTAATAAAGATACCAGTCAGTGGACTTAAGATCCACCCTCATCCCGTCTGACCTCATTTCAACTTTATCATATCTGCAAAGACCCTGTTCCAACTGAGGTCACAGTTCCAGGTCCAAGATTGGCATGATCTTTGTGGGAAATCATCATCCAACCCAGTACCATCAACTATACCATATAATCTCTGTTCCTGTGCTCCTAACATGGTCGGTAATGCAGTAGGTGCTCAATAAATGTTTGCTGCCTCGAAGAGTAAATCTCTTGCTTAAGAGGGCAGACTCTGAGGCCGGAGGGCTTGGCTTTAAATCCTGACTCTGTGTGACCTTCACATACTTGCTTTCCTCTCCTGTCAATGGGGACGATGACAGCACGTCCCTCCTAGGATGTGGCGAGGCCTGTAGTAGACATGGAGACGTGTTGGCTGTGGTTACTTTTGTTATTGTTATTAGAAGCAATGCCCATTTGGATCGCTGTGCATTCGGCTCCTCAGCATGAAGAAAGGTCTAAATGATAAGTCATGGAAAGTGAATGTGGAGTTCCGGAGACGGGTCCCTGTCCCTGCACATGGGGGAACACCTGTGCTGTAGTCCACACAGCAGCGCGATGACAGCTGAGCCTCGCGGAGTGCTCAAGGTACCCAGCCTGGACATCAACCCGTTTAATTCTTGCTCTCACCGTACCTGTCTCTTATTACACGGGCGAGGAAATGGAGGGTGAGTCGCTCACCCAGGGTCGGTGAGGGACTAAGCCAATATTGAAGCCCAGTTTCCCGCATTTTAGAGCCTTGTCCTCTAAGAGTTGGGAGGAATCGGGGAATGAGCATGGAGGCTTGGGTTGGCTTTGTAGCCAAAGGCTTGGGGACTGGTGAAGGTTGGAATCTCAGCACTTCCTCTGCCTTGGGTGCTTGTGGAAGGATTTTGTGCCGTGCCTTTATGAGGCCATCTGAGAAATATGTTAGAGACGTCAGTCATTGGGAAAGTTGATGTAGCTGTCGTCAGGAGGCCCAGCCTGCGGGGAGGTGCTTGCTGCCTTTGTAGACGTCTGCACTCTTACCCCACTGACGCCCCTTCATCTCCAAGCTCCTCTTCATTCTCCTACCATTGCACTTATTTCTGTCTAGAAAACCTGCCTTCCCCTGCCCCAGGGCCTTTGCGGTGGCTGCTCCTCTCACCGCCAGCTCACTGCGTAGGTCTTGTCTGGTCTCTTCTCATCCTTCTGGTCTCTTCTCCACTCAGACGTCACGCCTTGGAGAAGCCTTTCCTGGCCTTTTCTCCATTACTGCCTCCTTCCCATACGTGCCCTTCCCTCTTTCTCCTGCCCACTCCCTTGTGTTTTTGGTACTGGGGACGAACCCAGGGGCATTTTACCACTCAGCCTGGCCACGTTGCTGAGGCTGGCCACCAACTCGTGACCCTCCTGCCTCAGCCTCTGGGATCGCAGCCTTGCCCCTCCCACCCGGCCCTGCTTTGCTATTGAAATGAGCTTCTGTGCTCCTCCGTTACCTGTTTCTCACAGTAGAGGGGCAGCCGTCTCACGTAGTGTTTGTTCACGCATCTGTGCTCCTGGAGCTGAGCTGTTAGGCGTGCGCGTGCGAGTTAGCCACAGCTTGGGATCTGGAACCAGGCTGCCGGGCTCTGTTGGTTGCTGGCCGTGGGGCGCTGGGCTAATTACGAGACTTGCTGGGCCTCAGCGTGTTCCTCCTACAGTTGAATGATGATGGCACGTACGTGACAGTGTGGTTGGGAGGAGCAGATGAGTAGGTG